AAGAGAATTTCTAGAGATCTTAAGTACGTTTGCAAGGATAAGAACTTTCAAGTACTTTTTATCTCAGGGCATAACTAAATACAAGTCTCAAGGATGGCCTCCTGTTGAAAATACATAAATTTCGACTAGTAAAGATTCGAAAGGTAACTTCGAAGCTAGGATAAGCATCGATTGACTGTCTTGAGAGCATATTAATTACTAAATAATGATGACACAAGTGTGACCCAAGCCTTTAAGAAGATTGTCGGCCCTTATACTCAACGAGGGTCGACCACAACTATGTGACTATGTTGGATAACATGTATGCCCTGTCTCTACTGAAACGAGCGAGGCTACTAGTAACTATGCTCGACATTCACAAATCTAAAGGGTGTAGTTTTCAGCTCATTTCTGTCCCTCCTCAAAAGGCCGTAAGGACACAGTCATGGTAGATTTGACGAGGCAGACTGAAGTATCTTAGATACGCCAATACGTTGCGAGTTGCCAGAAGGGGCACTCAAATAGAGGGAACCAGCGCACACGTGATTCCCAAACAGACAGTGAGTTGCACCTGGGGACGCTTTACTTATTCTAGTATAATATACTCCATATAATCAGCATTTATTGAGAAAAGCCTGTGTTACTGATAGGGTATAGAGTATATAGTCTCCAATTTTCGCGGATTATCGGGTAGTCCAGTACCTAACTCGGGATTAGGAATATATAAATATCTAATGCTGAGAACTGCTGGTAAACAGTCTATCAGATTTGTAGTATACTCGAAAACTTTAGTACTACAGAGTAAACTACTCCGTATTAGTGTAGAAGTTAATATAAGAGCTTCTCAGATTATATATTAGCTGTAATCGAGCTGTTGTGGTAGCCTACCCAAATTAGATCTAATCCATGTCACGGTTCTGCCACCGCCCACAATGCCATTGCTGAATACGGATACATACTTGTAGTCCGTGCTCGCGGCCTATATTGACTGGGTGGTCAATTTGGTCCCCCGTAGCGGGTCGCCCCGCTCACCCACTTTTTTGCTCGGCTAGTCTGGATAGCATCATCATCTACCTTTCCGTACCATTGTGACAACAGTGTATTAAAGGGCCTGACAAATGAAAGTCGCCATCGCTAATTGCGTTGGAATTTCATTCAATGGCATCCAGATCCCGGACACATAATGATTACACTGTTGGGTTGGTCTGCGCGCTAGCTAAAGAACAGACAGCCGCGATCGCTATGCTTGATGAGCGCCATGACGACCTTCCCAACCCGGTTCACGACTACAACGCATACACGCTTGGATCCATGGGCAACCACAATGTGGTAATTGCATGCCTGCCTAAAGGTGAGGTCGGTACAAACTCGGCAGCGACCGTGGCAACTCGGATGATATCTACATTCCCATCCATCCGGTTCGGTCTGATGGTTGGAATCGGTGGTGGTGTTCCCCCGAAAGTGAGGTTGGGCGATGTCGTGGTCAGCACCCCAGCTGGTGGCTTCCCTGGAGTGGTACAGTGGGACATGGGGAAGGCAGAACAAAGACATACGTTTAGACATACGGGTGCACTAAATAATCCACCGAGCGCATTGCTTACAGCGCTTACGAAGCTCGAGTCAAAACACGACATGGAGGGGTCTTCAATACCGCAGTATCTGGAGGATTTGTTGATCAAATGGCCAAAACTCGCGCCAAGATATTCAAAGTCGGAAAAGCTTGAGGATGTTTGTTTTGAAGCAGACTATGATCATGTCACAGCGATCACCACGCACTCTGACAATACTGTAGGTAGAAAGCGGAACCACGATGGCCAGATGATTAAGCAAGAGGGCACTGATTGCCGATTTTGTGACCGAAGTAGGACATTGAAGAGGCAGCCTCAGGACATGCTTGTCCACTACGGCCTGATTGCTTCTGGTAACCAGGTCATCAAAGATGCGGCTTTTCGTGACAGGATTAATGCCAGGCTCGGAGGCGACGTCCTCTGCTTTGAAATGGAGGCAGCTGGACTGATGAACAGCTTTCCATGTGCCGTTATTAGGGGGATCGCCGATTATTGCGACTCACATAAGAACAAAGATTGGCAAGAACATGCTGCTGCGGTTGCTGCCGCCTTTGCAAAGGAGCTTTTATCGGTTATTCCGCCAGCTCAAGTGACCGAAACACCTGCAGCAGCAGAGGTGATGAAAGCCATGTCGGACACAGTACATAAGATTGGAAAATATGCTGACACGATACGCCATAATGTCTATTTACTTCAGTCTACCCAAGAGGGTAAGTTGCCGCTATATGGCTCGTGGACTTTCATTGCTAAGGTTTGCTCAGACCAATACCGCAAAACCCTCCGTTGTTGGCTGAGTCCAATCGACTATGAGACAATTCAAAACGACACCTATCGCAACTACCAAGAGGGAACCGGGAAGTGGTTCCTGGATAATCCCAAATTTAAAATGTGGGTGGCCAGCTCGTCACAAACACTCTTCTGTCCGGGGATTCCAGGTGCCGGCAAAACGATGATGGCATCTATGGTAGTGAACCATCTACGTTCAAAGTTTCTACACAGCTCTAGTTCTCAGCACGACAAGATAGGCATAGCCTTTATATACTGCAGCTACGAGAGACAGAGTGAGCAGAAATCTGACGACCTGTTCTCATCCCTATTGTCACAGCTAGCACTGGAAGAAAATCCAATTCCGCCGTCCATTTCTAAACTCTATAATCGGCACCATCAAGGACGAGCACGACCCTCACTGCGTGAAATATCGGATGAGCTTTGTTCCACTATAGCCAAATACTCCACAGTGTTTATAGTGATTGATGCTCTTGATGAGTGTCGAGACAATACAACTCGTAAAAATCTCTTGTCTGAATTGTTCCAGCTACAACAGATAACGGATATTCGATTGATGTTGACTTCCAGACCTAACATCTTACCAGAACACCATAGCATATTAAATATTCATGCCGATGAGAAAGACATTCAACAATATCTCAGAAGCCAGATGAATCACCTTTCGAGAGTAGTGGAGGGCGATGAGACATTGCAACATGAGATTCAAGCACGAATCTTAGAATCAGCCAATGGCATGTTTCTGCTTGCTCAACTTTACATTACCTCCCTCGAAGATAAACATACAAAGAAGGCTATTTACCGTCAATTGGACAAAATGGTGACGGGGCACCAAGGTTTGGACCAGGCATATAACGGTGCCTTCCGAAGGATCCGCGGCGACCTGGCCAAAGAGTTGCTGTCCTGGGTTGTTTGCGCCAGGAAATTACTCACAGGAGATGAGTTACTGCATGCCCTCGCAGTTGAACCTGGTACACGTAGTTTGGACACCACCAATTTTTGTGACCTTCAGGAAATAGTCTCTAATTGTGCAGGCTTGGTGGTACTCGATCCAGTAAGTAAAAATGTTCGATTGGTGCATAATACTGCAAAAGATTACTTTCAGCAAAAGATTTCCGAGTATTTCCCAGACGCCCACAAGAACATCGCTGTGAGCTGTGTCACATACCTTAGTTACGACGCTTTCAAGTCCGGCCCGTGTCCAAATGACAAGGCATTCGAAGCGAGACTCCAACAGTACCCTCTGCTCGACTATGCCTCCCGATACTGGGCTGACCATTCTCGAGGCGTGGAAGAGAGTGTGGAAGATGTTGCTATAGGATTCCTCATGGAGGAAAAGCAGGTTTTCGCCGCCAGTCAATGCTTGTTCAATCCAGAATTTCGACATGGCTCTTATAGTAAGAAGATCGCGATGGAATTTACTGGGATGCATCTGGTGGCATATTTTGGTTTACATCATATCTTGATTCAGTTGTTGGACAAGCTTCCTGTAGATACATTAGACTGTTATGGTCGGACACCACTCTCGTACGCTGCAGAACGCGGTCATGCATTGGCCGTAGGCCGGCTTGTCGACAATGGCGCCAAAGTCAACTCCAGAGATAGAAATGGCGGTACGGCGCTGCATTATGCAGCCTGGAAAGGCCATGACGCTATAGTCGCCTTACTATTAAGGAATGGGGCAGACGTTAACATCAGGGATTCCGGCTGGGGCACGCCATTAACTCGGGCTATTGACGGAAAATCCGAAACTACCCTCAAAACTATCCTGAGGGGAAAACCGAGGATGGAGTTTGTATACTCGCCTTTCGCTCAATCTTCAGATGAAGATCTTCCTATACAGCTTCAGACTCTACTCCGGCCTTGGAGGCAAATACCATTATCCAAGGAACGATATAAGTTATCATATGAAGACTTGCCAGAATATTTTGAGGTTATAGGCCGCCCCAAATTGAATATAACACCTAACCCACGTGGACGGCACGGCTTCCCTTCATCAAAGGTAATAAGTCCATATCAAGTGGAAAGGCGGATATTCCTACCATCAGGGTTTGAAATCATAAAGCAAAACGAGCCTCTTCTGAATGACGGGTTGCAATTCCTTCGGCGAGATTATTACCTCGAGCAACCGTATAAGGATGGTGATTCAGACGTCATACAAAATCTAGGGCATTCGAGCACAGAGTGGCTGCTGGACGATCTATTTTTCACTCCGCTGTTGCGGGCAGTTTGGAAGAGGAACTATCCCGCTCTTAAGCTTCTCCTGGAGAATGGCTGCTGCCCGCACTTTGGGAATAGTCGAGGCCTTACACCTTTGCTGTTGGCAACTAAACTCAAGGATAATACCAGCAGTGTGATGTTGGAGAGGTCATGTTTTCGCTCTGGCTGGCTTTACGGTTCAGCGAATGATCTACAGAGTGTCTCATCGTTTAGAAAATAGTATAAGAGTTTATCTGGTCTAATTACTGACCCTGGTTCAGCAACCAGTCTATATAATAACACGGACGTTGAAGTTCACTTTTCATTCCATCTGATGAGAGGTTTATGCTCCCGAACCGTTGTGGCTTCCCAGCTTATTTCTGAGCAAAGGAAAATCTGCATTCCGGTGATTCACGCCAGCAGAGGGGATACATGATCTCTGGCTCGCTGCGTTTTAGCTTTCTCGAATTACAAGAGCGCAACACACTTCATTTCAACGTCGGTGTATTCCGGGATCGATTTGACTGCCACGGAACTCTTTGGTTGGAGGCCTTGTTCAGCTCTTGCCATGATGCGAAAAATATGTGGAAACGGGATTTGGGGTGGGACGGCTAGTGACTACTTACATTCTAACGGGCTTGATGTCACCAAACCATTCCAGGTAAACCTCGTTCATTTTCTCAAAGTCCTCCATATCTGACAGGAAAACATTTGCTTCCACCATTTCCTCGAGACTGGACCCGGCGGATTCCAGCACGGCCTCCAAGTTTCTAATGCATTGATACTGTGGACTGGTGTCAGCTTTAAATATCTTGGCAATAATGTTGAGTTGCGGAACAAAGTGAAAAGCATAATTGAATTACGTACAACACGGTCTTGGATGGTGCCCTTGACAATCTTTCCTGTAGAATCCTTGGGAAGCTGGCCCGAGCAGAAAACAAAGCCATTTGCAATGACTGCCTGGTTATAAAATGGCCGTGGGGGAGGGGCTTCTTTGGTGTTAATTACTTGGGGGCTCGCAGACATTTGGCAGGTGTATCCTCTAATATATTTGTTTCGAGAGAGTTGAATTGGATGAAGCTGTAAAAACTGGCCAGGAATGTTTAATGGAAGTTCGTTATTACCTTGTAAAACTCCTTGAAAGCTAGTTTTTCTAGTCTCTTGTCCTGGTTATGCTTCTAGGTGAGCAATTGGAGTAAGAAACCCGAGCGACTGCGCAAGTTCACTCCAACAATGTCTTTATTAGTGCTCCACGTAGACCTAACCTTTATTGAGATTTGTACAGAGAGAAAGGTTAGGATGGACTCCATGTAGCCTACACCAAATCGTGTCGACGGAAGCGAACTGAGTATTGTAACTCCAACAGTATCGCTTTGTGATCCAGGATTGCCGAGTAGGAGAAGTGGAGTCTATCATTAGCCTGTGGTATAAAGGTAAGAGTTATATGCAGTATTTCTGGAGTCAGGAACTACGCCTGCCTTCCTCGCTCCCGTGCACCCGATGTGGTATGTGGAGCGGGCATCCGCCCTTCGCTAGTAACCTAACGCTATCTAATCTATACAACGGGGTTTTGATGCCATCGTAAAGATTGTATCTAGTTGGGCGTTGGGTAGAAGTATCTCCAGGTATGCTACGAGTACTATTATCCATACATTCTCCTTTCCTCCGAAGAGTTACAGATTGTAGTGCGCAAACTGGGACAATGGCCAAAAGGGTAAGTGCAGGATACAAAGTTGATTCTATGTATGTATACTAAGGCTCGGGATCCTTCAGTGTCAGAATCAGTGCGACGGAATTTTGTGATAGGAAGTGGCTTTGGACTTTTTTTAATGGACCCAGCATTGATTCTATTCTGCCTTCGTCGTCAAAAGCATAACTACTGAGTCCTTGAGAGTAAAACTGCCTGAGTCATGTAGCTGCCTCTCGAGCTTACCCAGACGTCGACAATTGTAGCTGCCTCTGGATCCTGGTCAGAGTCAACCACGAAGTAAAAACAATAGAATGAGGCCGCCACGCAAGCATGGTTTGGGTAGACCTTCACTACCTGTCCCACAGAAAGGGGAACGCCGGATGAATCAGCCTCTTTGTCCTCCCACGAAAGGATGGAGTGCTCCTGGCTGATACGCTCCACAATCAGACGTGCGGATGAGACTGGAGACGATCGTCTCCAAGAGGATATCATCCCCCAACCAGGATAGCTTGGACATGGTTCCCTTCCGAGTGCCAGCGTTCCGGCCGCAAGCAGGGCCTCTGGGCGAGGCCTTTCTCCATCGTTGTAGACACTGCAGACTTCCGCAAGCACAGAGATAGCAATATCGTCCTCCGGGCCTCCCATCTGTATGTTGGCATTTGTTGACATTTGCTGCATATCGAGCAGCGGGTATACCCCAGCATGGATTTCCATCTTCACCCTTGCATCCAGATCAGTTGCAAATGGGTTTGCCAGCAGGTTCCTCAAAGTGTTCAGCTCGGGGCTGGAATAACCGTCTTGTAGGAGATTCTGTGTCGAGAGCGCCTGCGGTGTTGCGCCTACACTAATAACCAGGTGTTTTTCTGGGAAGAACTGAAGATGACGTTGCAGAGCTTCTTTACAGGCCTCGATCTCCTTGATTAGGTGCTCTATCGCGTCCTGTTGGGTGGTACCCGCATAGCTGAGACTGCTATGAGAATAAATACCGAGGAGCTTAGCATATCCATGTTTCTCGGCGTCCGCGAGCTTCTCAAGCAAGCCATTCTTATTGAGTGAAGTGGGTGGCAGCCCCGCCCGATGATAACTCGTGTCAACTTTGATAAAGACAAAGACCGGGAAGTTCGTAATAGCGCAAAACCTTGGAAGGTAAGCCACTTGATCTGGATGATCAATCATGACAGAAATACTTCCTTCGCCCACTTCACGGGCAAGTTTGGCCAACCGGATCACCTGCGAGGGTACTAGCGGAATGCCATAGAGCACATTGACATCACGCTGCTCTGTTTTGAGCTTCTTGAGCAGAGGGACCAGGGTCTCAATCTCCAGGATGGTTGACGCAATGAAATTTCCTTCGAGACTCTTATCGTCAACTTGCATTTCGGCAATCTCTGCGGTCTTGGTCAGTTAGAGACTGTTCAACCCTTACGGGAAAATTCACAGGCTTACCTTGTGAGACTTGACATGCGCTCGGAAGCCGACACCCAACTCCTTCACTGTGCGAATCATTGTTCTACAATGTCTTCTGATAATGCCTGCATCGAGTACAAGTGCTGGCTTCGGCACGTCCCCAATGTCTTTGCCCACATAGAATTCTCTCAACTCCTGCTGGGATGCCATTGTGATTTGGTCGGTAATAGAGGACAGTAAGAGACATTCTACTTGTTTCAGCAACATCAAGTGTTTTATGTTTGATATAGTTTGGAGTGGTTGTTCAGCCATGGATATCGTCTTTTCGGCTCGCTCCCGCGCACTCAAAATGGCTAGCTGGTGGGGCAGTAAACAGGTCTTGTGCGGCCAATCATATCCGGATCATATAGAGAACATATCTCCAAAACCCCAATTTAAACAAATAATATTTCCAAATTTCCTTGGAGACAGTGGTGGCGGCCTGTTGAGGCCTGCATTAGGCATCAATGATACCTTTTTGAGTGCGCGAGAGCGGGCCCGATGGGGCTACCCAGTGTGTCCTTGATAGTCAAGTAATGCCAAGGACCATAGGTAGCTCAGAACGAACTCGCGAATCGGCTCAGTATAAGAAGGCAAGTACATATATGACAATGTAGTATATTTTCGACCTCTAAGTGTCGACATACTCTACTTGAGCTGCACATCGCTATGCCTGGAAAAGTCGCCGTCCTCACCCCGAGTGCGCCTGCTCCGATGCCCGTCCTTTCACAGGGCGTCATCTGCAACGGGATGGTCTATGTGTTAGGAAGCCTAGCAATCGACCCCTCGACCGGTAGATCTGTGGAAGGTACTGTGGCGGATCGTACTGTAGGTTTTCGTGGTTATACATTGAACACAAGACAGTATAACTTGTTAACAGTAATATCCCATGAAGGACCAGATTTTCCGCAACATCTCCGCGATTCTGCAAGCCGCAGGAAGTAGCCTGGCGAATATTGTGGGTTATTATTTATTTACTGCCACATATATGACATGATATACTGAAATTTTACACAGGTCAAAGTCAATATCTTCCTCACCGATATGTCAAATTTTCAAACCATGAACGAGGCCTACGCTAAAAATATCCCCGAGGGTGCCAAGCCGGTGAGTGCTCAGCCTTCTATACAATCTTAAACCTAGATTAAGAGGCTTGAACCAGGTACGCACATGTGTTGCGGTGAGGGAGCTGCCTTTCGGCTCTAATGTTGAGATTGAATGTACGGCGGCCTTGGAAGACGCTTAGAATGATGTAGTAGCATCTTGTTTAGCAGGATCCAAGTAACGGTCATATTATTGTTGAGTATTCATTTGAAGAATTTTCTTCAGTCAGAAACGAAGATAGTGGTACATATATGGATCACGCACCTAACTACTTCGTATGTATTTGGTAACGGACACTCATACTGAGGGAAGGTCGTCGAAACCAGTTTATGCCATAAGAGAGTTATACGTCTTGTCTAATATGGACAATACAAATTAACTCATATGGCCTAAATAATACGTTTTCTATCATTCTCAGGCGAAACAACTCAAGTTTTTTCTCTAATTAGTTAATTTAGTATCAACAACTTGACGACCTTATCAACCAGATGATTCCGACTTTCCCTTGCTTCCCTCTCATCTATTCCTGTACAAATTACAGATTGCTTCCACCATAGTGTTCCCGCCTGAAAGAATGACACCAACATCCCAGCCCTTCTCTCCGCCCTCTTTCTCGGCAATTGTCCGGAATCCCTCATCGAAAAGCACAACTGCCAGGGGCACGGCAACGCTCGGGTCAATCACAAACTTCATTCTTTCCAGGACTAGCTTCATGGCCTCCTTGATCTGATATTCTGCCACGGAAAAGACCCCCCTAACCTTTTTCTGATCGGAGATCACAGTCCAATTAATCTGTCCGTGCATATATATTGTATCTAGTTCCGACTTGGTGTCGGTTGAACATAACCTGGTCGATCATGCCAACTTGTTGCTCGTTCCTGCGCACCCCATAAGGAAAGTGGAGACAGTTGTGTTGCTGGTTTGGGGTACTTTAAAAGTTGGAGTAGCATATCAGGACTCCAATAGGATGCCATCTAAGACGTTGGAGTAATTCTTCAAACCGCCCGAAAGCCTGGAGCGAGTGATATGTGAGCGAAGGATTCCAAAACGGGCTTATATCAAGACGTTTCCTTGCGCTCTATAAATTTAAATTCATCAATGTCTCCTCTTTGTCCCAAAGAACTAGCCGCCGTCATGTCGTACCTTGATGATGGACTTCTCCGGAAGCCACTCAAGGTGGCCTGTATTCAAATAGCAAGTGGTAGGAAGAACTGCCTCTGAATGTGTAGCGACAATGTACTCAACTCGCTAATACTCAGGTCCCGACAAGACCCAGAACCTAGGCAAAGCGAGAGAGAAAATCTTGCAGGCCGCGTCCGAAGGCGCACGTCTCATTATCCTTCCGGAATACTTCAACTCACCATATTCCACCGCGAAGTTTCGCGAATATGCCGAGCCATTATCGGCATCCCTCGACTCCGTAAAGTCCCCCAGTTTTGTCGTCTTGGCACAGATGGCGCAGGATGCCGGTGCATTCGTCGTTGGGGGAAGCGTTCCGGAGTGCGACGTGTCCAGTCACATATATAATACGTGTGTAGTATACTCCCCTCTAGGAGAACTGCTTGCATTCCATCGCAAAATGCATCTATTCGATATCAACCTACCTGGCGGCATGTCGTTCCACGAATCAGATACTCTGTCCGCTGGGAAACAGATTACGATCGTGAACCTGGAGGGATATGGAAAGATAGGGCTCGGGATTTGCTATGATATGCGGTTTGTCGAGCCAAGTACTATTGCAGCTAGACGGGGCGCATTCGACCTAGTTTACCCATCAGCATTCAACACCACTACTGGACCTCTCCATTGGGAGCTCTTGGGTCGGGCGCGTGCGGTGGATAACCAGGTGTACAGCATTATGTGTTCGCAGTCAAGAGACTCACATTCATCAGACCCTGCCTGGGGTTATAGCATGGTTACTGATTCAATGGGCCGAGTTATTGCTGGGACCAAAGAAAGTGAGGACATTGTTTATGCGCTTTTGGACCCGGAAACAATCAAGCAAAAGTCGGATAGCGATTCCGATCACCCATCAGAGAAAGCATGACGTGTATCCGGATATCGCGAAACTTGCTCAAACCGATAAATAGTAAATGTATTGTGGTCTCGTATTTCACGCCCATGTGGACGGTTTGAGGCGTGACCGGGCCAGAGGAGATCGAAGAAAAACGAAATTGTGGATCTGCAGACCCCAATTTGGGGTAAAAAGCCCCGCCGAAGCCGTTGCGATTCCCCAAATTAGTTAGATTACCCATGAGCCCGTTATAGTTCAACAATGTACAATCCCGGCTCAATCAAGAATATATTTAGCTAGGGACACTGTCCACTTTTTCCCATATCATGTAATCAAGCCTGTCGAACCCTAGAATGGGTATGGATAGGTAAGAGAATGGACCCTTAAAGAGTTAACCTGCCAAGAATCTGCCCGTCCATGGAGCATCCTGGCCCGGGCCGCTGATATCACTTTAGCTAGCTGGCAGCCAATGACAAGGTCTGGTGACATGAAGGCTTGGAACGGATGCTTAGATTGCTGCCCACGGCGTTGTTGGGCCTATCACCAAAAGGCTCCTCCACCAGGGACCCTCCACTAAGAACTTCTTAGCCAATGAATGTCCAGTTTGGCTGCATAATACGTGTATCGAGGTAACCTGTCACTTCTTAGGGGCTGTTCCAGACCCAAAAAAAAAAAAGTGGAAGCTTGGACCTTGTACCCAATGAAAAGGAAATAGTTATACAGTGAGGGGCTTTGAAAGGTACAAGTTGTTTGACCTAGCCACGTGCTTCTTCCCGGGCACGACCAATCGGACCAGCGGAATTACTGACAAGGGTTATACTATATACATTCCCAAATACAGGGCTGGAAGCTATGACTCGTGTGTATCGTATGCGTTACTCCACATACTTCCCCGCAGTTTGGGCCTCAGTCTTGGTCTTACACATCACACATCCCTGCGGGGTTGTCTCATTTTGCTGTAGACGTAGCAATAGCATAGCTTCCATATAACATCCTCCCCTGCTTGAGTGCTGCACACAAATTTCCTTCTTCCCCAATGAAACATCCCGGTTATAGCAATAATAAGCATTGTTGCCAAGCACTAACGACAAAATGTCCAGAATCCAGGCCCAGTTAGACCAAGGCGCCGTCCCCAATGCCATTTCCAACGTCTGTCCACCAGGCACGAAATTCCACGTCCTCGAAGTAGGTTGGCTCGAATGCGACAAAGGCTTCGTAATCAGGGGTGGCAACACTAGCATGAAGTCCACAGAAAACGGATCTTTCGTCAACGAGCGCTGCGAAATGCCCATGTACTGCATTTTAATCGATCACCCACACGAGGGTCTCATCCTCTGGGAAACCGGCAGCGGAAAAGATTATCCCACGGTGTGGGGTCCCGCTATCGCTGATATCTTTGCGCGGGTGAAGTATGAGCCTAGACATGAGCTTCGGGCCGCTGTTGAGGCAACGGGCCATAAGCTTGATGACATCAAGAAGATTATTATTGGGCATCTGCATCTGGACCATGCGGGTGGACTTGATGAGTTTTTGCATCGCACGGATGTGGAGGTCTGGGTGCATGAGAAGGAATTGACGAATGCCTTTTGGTCTGTTGCTACGGGGGCGGATGTTGGGGTTTATTTGGAACATTATCTTAAGTTGTCTTTGTATGCTTTTTGTTTCCCTTTTTGGTTGGTATGCTACGGAGCAAGGCTGATTGGGACATAGGAACTGGAAAACGTTCAATGATCAGACACTGGACTTTTGTCAGGGTATCACGCTGCATCACCTGCCTGGACATACGGATGGTCTTATAGGCATGCAGATTAACATGCTCAACACGGGAACGTTCTTTTTCATTAGTGATCATTGCCATGTGATTGAGAATGTGAGTTGCACTTCTTTCTTACACTCACAATTTATTGACTTCACAATAGTGGCGGGATGGGATCCCCCAGGGCTGGTTGGCTCGAGACCACCCATCGTGGTTCAGGAGTACACAGCGTCTCAAGCATCTTGAAAGGATTACTAAGGGACAGGTTATCCCTGGGCATGATAAACAAACTTTCCTAGCGCTTCAGAGCCAAGCTGATGTTTTCACCTGAAGTCTCTTTTTCATTCACCATGGTCGCAAAATTATAGACAAGTAGTATATGGTGGCCATGTCCTTGATATCCCGGGGCTTTGAGATCTAGGTAATTCCCCTATCGCTGTGCCAGTACATCTCGACAACTGCCGTAATGCAACTAACATTAAGCTAGGATTTGGAGATACAACGCTACCATCTCGGTATCGTGTCAAGTTGGGGTTGTCCACGGAGTAGCAGGCACTTTTATGTGTTATTCAAAATTAAAGTATCATACATTGGCTGTGTTAACTAAAGGTACCATGCTTTAGTTGCAGCAAACGGGCTTGTAATTTCAATAATACCTAAGAGGTTTTTAGGCACGAAATAGAAACTTTAAAGTCTGCTTTGATTTCCTTCATCTTTCCACAACGACCCTGTCCTCTTCATCGAATGCAGAGCCTCTTGCTCGATTCGCCCCAAGAGATCAGCGCAAGTAGGTATGTCATGAATCAGCCCAATAACCTGACCAGCAGTCCATACCTATGCAACAGTTAGCTCGATTATACCGTAGCTAGGGTAATCAAAGACTTACGCCGGAATCCACATCCCCATCTAAGAACACTTGTTGTCCCCGCTTGCCATTTACAAAGGGCGCAATCTCCTCAAATTTCCCAGTCGTACTCTCTGTTTCCACTTTCAGAGCCTCCTTTGCCACTTTGTTGCCATATAACCGTGTCGTGTTTTTCCATCGCCTCATCACCAATGCTGTATCCGTTTCCTGGGCTGCCACGATCGTCTCTTTCACCTTTATATGAATAGGTGCCTCCACTGTACACATAAACCGTGTCCCCATATTGATACCCTCCGCTCCCAACGCCAACGCAGCAGCTAGACCATGTCCGTCTGCGAAGCCTCCGGAAGCAATAAACGGGACACTCAAAGCCTGTCTCGCCCGGCTTAAGAGGATCAAATTGGTGAGGTCATCCTCTCCGACGTGGCCACCGCATTCAAACCCATCAATAGATAAAATATCTGCACCCAGCTTTACGGCAGATTTAGCATGGCGTATGGTCGTGCATTTGTGTATCACGATGATATTAGCCTCCTTGAGTGGTTTAATAACAGACCCGGGGTTATTTCCTGCCGTCTCGACGACTTTGACCCCTTCGTCAATGATGGCCTGGACGTAGGCACCGTAGTCTGGTGGCATGAGTGATGGCAGGAGAGTGATGTTCACACCGAATGGTTTGTTCGTCATTGACCGACATTTACGGATTTCCTTGCGGAGATCATCCGGCGTAGGTTGAGTCAGAGCAGTAACATGTAAGAGCTATGTTAGCTTGGGCATACCGGTACTCGCAGTTAAAGGTTTTACTAACTAGGCCGAGCCCTCCTGCGTTACTCACAGCAGCCGCGAGTTCGGCGTACCCTACCCAGTGCATACCTCCTTGCACCACGGGGACTAGGGAGGTTAGCTTCTGGTCGTACAGGACAATGGCCTTGAATGACTTACTTTTAATCCCCAGTGTTCTGGTGAGAGCCGTATTGAAAGGCATTGTTCCTCGTTTTCTATCTGTGTGGAGTATAAAATGTATTGTGCTTTTTCTTTGGAGATAACAGTCTTAGATCATATATCCCAGGTAAGCAATGTAGAGAGTGTGTTAATCAACCATATGAACTGCCTTCCAGCTTAACAAAAGAAGATCGGGAGACCTTTCTTCTACCGTATTTATATCACACCATGATAACCGGGAAGTGGCCCGGTCTGTATCATATGAGATGGCATAGCTTGATCTGGGAAACCTGGCACCAATTCTGGGGAGAAAGGACGGAACAGCCTCGGCGATAAAAATACAATTTTAGTACGACCTGCCAATTGTTCTGGGTTGAATACTTTTGATGAGTCAACAACGGCCAGATTAACCCGGGCAGCATCTGCGTAGCAGCCGAGGTCCAGGATGGGACCACAGTATTTGATGACAAAATAAGAATAGGATATCCGACGTTGTCCTTAGCTGCCCCTTACAGTATTATAGTGGAGTGGGGATTTGTGGGGGAATCCCGCGGCGGATCAACTCCTCCGATCACTGAGATCTGAGTCGGCAATCGTGAAGGTCTTCGGAGCAATCCCCACCACTCGTGCTAATTGATTATCTGGTGATATCAATCAAGAAGCTATCAGTCGTTGTATACACTGAGCCGAGGAAAGGCGTCCTGATTTGCCTGCTTGGCTAAATCAGAAAACATTAATAAGTAACGAAAGAACTCATTACACTGTCTTCTGTAAAGACCTCGCCCTCGAAGAGACCAATTTATCAGTGCCAGTGTCAGCATGTCGGACAAGGACTATAAATATTTCAAGGTTACTGTGCCAGAGCCATGGGTCGCACACGTCGAAATCAATCGGCCAGGCCATGTCAACGCCTTCTTGGAAGAGTAAGCCGAAGATATGAATCAAATCGAAAGAAAACAAGCTCAAATGCCTTAGTGCGTGGCGCGAAATGCGAACCGTCTTTGATAATCTCTCCACGGATCCATCTATTCGTGCGGTAGTTTTCTCCGGATCTGGCGAGAAGGGCTTCTCCGTTGGCATCGATCTGAAATGGGTGTCGAACAAGGATTCACCATTTATGGTCACGTCAGGGGAGAATGTCGATCCAGGCCGACGTGCAGTCACCACACTTCGAAGATTTGGCGTGGAATTCCAAGAGTGTATTTCCAGTATTGAGAAGTGCGAGAAGCGTAAGATTCGCCTTGTCCGTTCAACTTATCCAGTTCAATTCCGTCCCAACAAGACAGATTTGAAGGGTCGATCTCGAAAACGATATTCTAGTCTCTAAGCGCTGACAACAATGCTTAGCTGTTATCTGTGCTATGCATGGCTACGCCTTAGGGATGGCAATGGACGTCTGCTCGGCGGCGGACATGCGGATCTGTTCTAAAGACACGGTTTTCTGTGTCAAGGAAGTTGATATCGGTATTGCCTCTGACATTGGGATTCTAGCACGACTACCAAAGGTTGTCGGGTCATACACATGGGTAAAGGATGTAGCCATGTCCGGTAGGAATTTCAATGCGGATGAGGCGCTCAGAGTTGGGTTCGTGAGCACTGTCCTGCCAACAAAGAATGAAGTCATGGAGGAAGCATTCAGAGTTGCAAGGAATCTGAGTGGAAAAAGTCCAGTTGCGGTACAGACAATCAAGCACTTCTTGGATTATAGCCGAGATCGCACCGTTGCTGAAGGTAATCCCCAAATCTACTTTCAACTTGTCGAATGGGACATAGTGCTAATTCTCAATTCAGGGCTCCAATACCAACTAGCTTATAACGTTGCAGCGGTTCAAACTAAAGATGTTCCCGTTGCTATTTCATCCATGTTGTCGAAAGAGAAGCCTGTCTTTGGAAAGCTCTAGTGTAACAGAAATTGCAGTGTTCGTTTGATAATTAGAGATTGATGATTTCTCGCGAAGTTGAATTATTTTGACATTTAGTCCAACATATGCACTCGTGCTTTTAAGTCATAAAACGTAATGAGAGTTCCCCACAGATTGCTGTTTTCAAGTAATCGTCCTACCAAGAATCAACCGTAACGAGCCCTCTTCACGGAGTGAAAGAAAGACTCGAGGGCAACCACGTAACACCGTCAATCCGACATACGCCTCAATTTATCGCGCGCATATTGTGCCATCAAAGGTCCCTCGAGGGGATGAACAGGGTTACTTTCCAACACAAAGGGCTTGAGAATCTCCTCCGCTTTGGGCTCTTTCGGCTGTTGCAAACTGGCAGGCATTCTACCCCAGCAGTAAGGTTCTTGCTGTTCAGCGGTCTGGCTTTCAGGGGCTGGGGATTCACGACCGGCCAGCTGAGCGCAGAGTAAATTTTTCTTTGCTTCCATCTTTGATTGATTGAAGTGATTTCTCGATCCTTTAATGGTTGACCAGAGAGAATGATGGCAAAGGGATTATATGCTCCTGTGGATATTGTTCCCGGATATTGGGTCTCCTCGTACGTAGGTGGTTCTTTGTGGCTCTGAACTGATAGAAATAAGTGAATATTAGTATGCTTAAATCGGACATTCATTCCATTGCCACGGAAATAAAATGCAGGGAGAAAGGACTTACATTTTAAGGGTACATAGAGCAGTATTTTGCGGGTTTAGAAAGATGAAGGAGCTATGACTTAATGGTTCACCCCGCACCTGATATATGCATTATCCAGGGTGGGCATGTTCAACTAGTGACCTATCAACAATTCATTGTGTTTAAATAATCATGACGCTTACATCGTATTAGTAATAATAGCAGATGCCTATGCTGAATGCGTAGGATTGGATATCAGTTGTCATCTTTGCGGTCGGAACCATGGTTCTCGCCGATCATCTATATGTCAAAACCAAAGTCAGCTGACGAGATTCAGAAATAGATCCATAGCCACTCCTGGAGCTTTGAGAGTCGTGGCAAAGGTTGAATCAATAGAGAATCATTCACGTGAGCCTCATTTCATATGATATATCGATTTTAGAAAATCGAGTTTCCTGTCAACGAATATGGTCATTGACATGTTACAATGTCATCTCTGCCTTGCATAGTCGCATACGTTTATTATATTAATACCGATGTGCTGCTTAATTCAAACACTAGATCTAACCTGGTCTGCAATTGTACTGACACATTACAAGGTGTGAATTAACTATCAGACGGTTGTATTATCAAGATATGCTACTTACTATACGTGGAAGTATTGAAAGGGAAAACACCTCCTCTTTCCTTTGTCTACGTAGTTTAGCAAGGCATTTATCTTCGTCTTGGTTATTGTATGAGTCAAACGATTATTACTCTTCATCTGGCACGTCACAAACGTCAACTCTTTGGCGAAGTTCCTTAACAGGGCTTATGTGTGTGCTTCTTTACAGCTCTTATTAGTTCTCGCACTATAGTGAGAACAACTTATGGCTCGTCTCACTTGTTACCCAAAAGGAGTTGATGTCCAAAATGCCGCCCACCAAGGTTACAGGTTGTAAATACTCGAAATTTGTCAGTTTTGAGTTAACTAAACTTGGAAACGTATTTATTCCTTCGGAAATGGGAGGAGGCTTTATTTCGTCTAGTCATTCTCCAAGTTCGTTTCCTTCGCGTCGCAACTGTGCAGCCGATAGGGCTCAAACCCGGGTTAATGTCTTAGGCACCCAAGTGGCTGCCAGACGCACTGACGGACACACTGTAGCGCGTATCCGTGCGGTTCCTCCCACAAGCGTTGGTAGGTACGAAATATCTATTGGACGGTAACTTGAGCATTATGCATTAGTCCGTGATGAATTGGTGTAGATGCAGATTTATCATCCTTCGAGTCGGCGACTCTAAGCCTCCCTGAGAATCAGCCTTGGCATGACCCGTGGCCTTCAGCCTCGCCTCTTAAATAAGATAAATAATCGATCCCATGAAAACAGCAGTCTCTCCGAAGCCCCGCAAAATACAACTACTTATTTGGGAAAGAAAAATGCAAGCAGACACCTTCAATACTCTCTCAAACATCCGACGTCAAACCGACTCATCTATTGTATCCACATTGCTTGACCTTCAAGAGGACGCCCGATTCGATAACCGGACTTATGAATGGATCAGAAAGTTGGAGGTCATTTACCTCAAGGCTTCTACTGGAGGCTCTAAGAGGCGCTGGGATAATGAAATAATAACTGGCCAGGATGCAAAGAAATTGCTCTGCAGAAGGCGTATCAATGCATACGATCCAAACAAGAAATATATCGCTGTATCTTATACCTGGGAATCTCCTTTGAACCAGGATAGCTCTCAGGAAGCGTATATAGTACAATCCAGGGACCGAGCTAATGCGCATTCAAGCAAAGTAAGAGATCAGGTGCTTGATAGGGTCATCGCATATGCAAAGTACTGCGAAAGCAGGGAGGGCCCTGTCCAGGGTTTCTGGCTTGATCAGGAATGCATTGACCAAGAGAACGAAGCCGAAAAGCAGCGTGCTATACAATCCATTGAACATGTGTATAGTCATAGTGCCTTCCCAGTGGCATTGCTTTCGGTCCAGATCAAATCACAGGATCAATTGAAAAGATTGATATCCGTCCTTAAGACGGAGAATCCACCAGGAAATCATGAAAGGGGCTGGGTCCGCGGCATTCTCAAGCTTCTCCATGATATCACATCTGATCTCTGGTGGAGAAGGGGTTGGACATTTCAGGAAGACTATTGCGCGTCAACAAAAATGTGCCTTTTGATCCCTCACTCTTCATCTTTAAAGGAGCTCAAAGAGAAGAACCACCGCATCCTTGGCAAGCTGGAGGGCGAACTTTGCATCAAATCCACGGACTTTCGCTCTCGGGTTACTAAATTCTGCATGTATTATCGAAGGGAACCAGAATTCGAGGCCATGTGTGTGGATATTCTAGACCGAGCTTCAAAATACGATGTTCAGCTATTAGAGTTCGATCTCGAGGGAATGCCAACGATAAGGCAGTCCATGTCTCCAATAATATTCTCTAATGTTGGGAAGCGAGGGATCACAGTGGAGTCGGATCGTCTGGCAGTGATTGCCAACTGCTTAGACTACAGTTTCCGACTCGATACCCGACGAATCGAGCGAAAAAGATGCAGTTTGAGCATTGCCATGCTGGCTTTGTTCTTACTAAATGGAGAAATTCTTGTGAACGGCCCGAGCTATTCTGAAACCGCTCTTGGAAGCAACATATTCGAGTATCTGGAGAAACAGTCACTTCGCACATTTCAGACACCTGATATTGATCAAAAACTTAGATTCATCAAACGTTGTCGTTTCGCGAAGGTGAAGTTGTCGGAAGAAGGAATTCTAACGTCGGGTCACCTCTGGCGGTTGGGTAAAATCGTGGAGGATGCCAGAGGAACGGAACCACCAGTCCAAGGACGCAATTACAAATTGAACAGCTACCAAAGAAAGCGTTTGGGCCAGCTCGCTAGTCATTTGGGCTCAGGGGGGTGTGGAAGTCGGTATGAATGTATTGCACAGGCTATCGATACATATCTGGACGAAGACAAAAGGTGGGAGGGTGAGGGCATCACATTTTCCAAATTCTACAAGGATCTCATGGCCGAAGAGATTGTCAAGGCAATGGATGATCGATATTCTTGTCGGCTTCGGCTTGGCTCATTAATTCCTCGGGATGAGTGCAGAGGTAATAATCCGTACAGCGGAGTTTTTATCAGAGAGGCAGGCCATCGGTGGACAGAAAAAGAAACGTATGTTTTTACCGCAGTTTGGTCGGATGACAAGACTATAGACGATATCGAGAAGCATCTCTCTTTAGAGGTTGAGTTACTTGGCTCATCCAACAGATCGGACCCCAAACGGTTAGTTATCAAACGGTGGATTAATGGGTTGTTCTTTTTTGATAGCTCCAGTCCGGTTACCGACGTGGTGTTTCCTTGGCCAAATTCTTTCCTGGTTTAAAAATGGAAAGTCGTTTCGTTGGTATTTGTGCCTTTATATCTGAGTCGGAAAAGATTCGTATACACATCAATAGCAACGATTAAAGAGTCACACCAATAAACTCCCCCAGCTTCTTCTTATCCAGAATCTCTCCTTCGACCAGCTTCCCTGTCTCGACCGTCTCACCGTTGACGCGTTCGTATCGCACTAATGCCGGGATACAAGGGACCTTCCAGTTTGTGCGATAGACATTCTGTAGATCCTTCCATCTACGACAAAGTCAGTATTCTGGATAGCCAATCTAAATACCTAGAAATAAATTTACTCTGGCTTCTGTCCAACCTCAACCACTCTTAGTGCCGGTGCGTTCGACCCGGAGAACGTGGCCTCAAGAACTGGCCAGGCGGCACGAACATCCGGGCACCAGGATTGACCGGTTAAAGGGTCATCGGAAGTCACGAACACAATGAACGCTTTTGCATCGTTGCCCTCGGGCAATTCGAGGTGCTTTGGCGATGTGGGGAGGGTGAAGTCTGTGATGAGGGGCATTTTGGCGGCTTGGGAATGAATAAGGGGAAATAATTCCTGAGAAAAATAGAGAAAACTCCATTTTGGCCTCGATTCTGCCGGCACAATCATTGAAGTGGGGTACAGCGGTGGAATTTGTCCTTCTTCTTATTGGTGTTGCGGCTGCCTTGGTTCCTGAACATAACTAGGCGGAAAGACTGTCATCTTATTATGATCTTGTCTGTCTGCTCTTTTTCTCTGCAGATTAATTTAACTTAATTAATTCAGGACTACTTGTTCCGAATTTCTTTGGAATATTTTGTACACTTGCGGGATCAGTGATGAGCAGTTCAGTACTAACGCGTATAGTTGGGCTAAATGATCTCATATGTCCTTTATCGGTACAGCTATATAAATATTCAACAACACTGCGACCATGAAGTACAATATGCTGTAGCCGACACCCTAACTTTTAACTTGCTAGTAGTATGAACAAACAAACCTTGCCTGTGGAGGTATTCATCCTTTTATTAGATTGACCATAGCAGTGGAATACAACCTTGAAATGGACAACTGCCCAAGCTTGCAACCTGCAATGTGAATCATGTGATCGTTTAGGCTAGATTAATCTGCGTGACTGTACCACCAGCACTTTCTGATTTCAGTATTCTTTGTATCAGGTATTAATATAGCCCTTTGCTGCTCCTACTGCTTATTTCTAGATAGTAACAGATTATCCTTTCCTCTCACATTGCCCTTTCTGCGTTCGTTGAATCAATTCCACTTCCCCAAAGTGAGACAAATTTGTCTCCCTCAGATTCTCTGCACCAAAAGGTGGAATTAAATGAAGCCCCCCTGAGAACTACATAAAACTAGACCCTTGCTACAGGGTCTGAGGAGATCCTGTCCATTTAACATCAATTCAATGCAGACTAGTCCAGTAAGTAGTAATTCTTCCCCACACCACTTATTACTCTGTGTCATGTAGCAAATTCTAAAGTACAGAGATTGTCCAGAGGGCTAAGCTAGCATATTTGGACCCTGAAATCTAGTTGTCACACTTTGCCTTCTGTGGGAATCAAACCTGGTCAGCGCTGCGGAAACCAGCAAAGGGAGATTAATAACACTTACGCATTTCTCAAGGCACTTCCGCTGCTCCAAAGCGAGGACGGTAGAGTTGCATGCAACGTCACACTGAATGGAAATATCAGCAATCAAAGTCAAGGTATTTATGATTAACCCGTGTATAACTTACGGCAACATCACAGGCCTTCTGTCCAAAAGAAGGCTCAGGCTCAGGGGCGGCCTCACGCTTCATGGGCTGTATTCAGGGATGATTAGTACGATAAAGGTGAAACAGTGGAGAGGAAAACTTACACCAAGGTCACAGGCCTTCTCGCAAAGACCTGAGGCGATGCCGGCAGTTCCAGCCTTCTGTTGCAGTTAGCGGTTTGTTAAATGGCCATCGAATTTGTCTACTATAAACGTACACAGATGGCCTTGCAAGCTTCCTGGCAGATCTTGAGCTTCTCGCCGGTAAGGGTGCCACACGTACGCTTGGCGAGATGGCCATCCTCGAAGGAAGGAGCAGCCATAGCCAGGGCAACAAGGAGAGGGGCAACGAGAAGCTTGAACTGCATCTTGAAAGTTGGATGGGATTGACGAGGAAGCTAAAGCTTGCAAGTGATGAAGATTGTCTAGATGCGGAGGAACTGTGCTAGTTGACCTTCTTCAGCAAAGGGGGGGAGTCAACAAGTCTTTATACACCTTTTCGCATGCGTACTGTTCCCCTAATCTCTGCCATCGGGAGTTTTCTCCGTGATACTTCGGAGAGGACTCCCTTACCTTGTGGAGCTAGGAATACCTCAGGATACTAAATCGCGCACACTTCCGGCAGCCTTACTGCGCTCCTCTCTATTCCGAAGATGTCTTAGAACAATGGGTCGCTAGTGGGATGTAGTGTTCTCTCGCCTGAAGGATTGAGCGGCAGGAGGGCATTTTACCACTAGTTATAGAGAGATGCCTCTTAGTGACCTGCCGAAGGCTACAAAGAGGCATACTGTTGACTACCACCGTTGGCGAATATGCTGGTTTACAGTTAGATCCATATTGCGATGGTAAGATTGACTTGTAGCATTACAATAAGCTTAACCACGGAATGGGGACTAGAGCTTGACTGGCTCATACGATATAGTAGCAGATACAGATAGTACGGATTCCATCCTTTGAGAATATGGGTATGATAATTACCCCATCTGCACCAGATACCCCTAGACCCAGTAGCCTGAATAATCCCATGTGGTAGACCTCGCACTATGCGTCCTTTAGACAAAGGGTGTAGTGGGCCCTGGTCGGATACAGTCTATCATGTCTAATAACGGGCTGTAAGCACCCTCAGAAGGCAGGATGTACACCGCAAGATATTGAGAACCGTCGAAGCTCCTCGGTACAACGCACTTTAAATGATCTTCATCAATATAGTTAATACGCCAAGACAATAGTTATTGAGAATTATCTACATAATGCACATCGGAACCTTAGACCTGATAGGGGAGTGAAGATCAACTGATTCCTATATGATGCCAGCAAAGATTACACACATCGGGCGCTTTACCAATCTCGAACGTCCACAGAGGGCAGATGTGACTAAACATTCAGTGATACGCTATTCCTTTCAACCGAACCGAACATCCTGTAGAAGAAGAAATTGGACCATCATCTATCCATATCCGAAACTCTGGTCTCGTTTGGTAAACACAGCATATGCGTATGATTAAGCAAGGGTGGAAGCCCACGTTCAAGCATTGCCCCGATTCGACTAACCTTGCGGACTGGATGTATCCACCGATTATACTACGAGCCGTTTTCTACAGCTTCTAACCATATACGGATACTCTTGCAGGTGGCAATTTAACTATAAAAACTATAATTACATCAATGTTCATCATGCAGAAGCTAAAACTCTTAGTGAAGCTTAGTTTCTGGATAAAGCTTAGCCACAGTCGCAAGTGATGAAGGGGATGTTCATGTCTCTTGAATTCCATAGTCACCTCAGCATATTATCACTGGCTATCGTCGACGAGTGCGCACGTTAATGGAGGAGCAGAACAGATATGAGAATTAAAATGTGGCGAAGCTACGTAATGAAAAGTTAACAATGCTGTGTCCCCGTGCATGGGTGTTGAGCATCGCCGGTAGACTAATCGTTGAGCCAAGACGGGGAGAACACCGGATGCATTGCTCTATGTTACGCTACGGCCCGCGGTGGAGGAATGTGAGACGACCGGGTAATTTCAATGTTTCTTCAAACACCGGGCTCCAATAGTGGCAATGTACAGGTGTTGATCTGTGTATGTGGGCCAAGTGAGAATATTTCCTAGCTCAGGATCACGCACGTGGCAATCCAGAATGACCTTTTAACGTTGCATTTTTGCTTAGAGGATGAGACATTCATATTAGCCTGTGTCCTTTGCTTCGAAATAACTGGTTGGACAAAGACGATTAACCCCGAAGCCGAATATGAGACAAGTTTCGGGATGCAGGGAAGTAAGAGGCCTCATATGTTTATGGATACGGAAACACCGACTTCCAAAAAGGAGTGACATATCCCTAAAGCCAACAGAATGATCGTCGCCAAGCTGTCAAGTGGTGGAGAAGGGATGAACTGATGTAGATGAGCCAAGTACGCCGTACGGTGCAAGAGCTTCTTGGCCAGCAGATCAGACGTCAAACGAGAGCTAGTTAACACGGTGGAAGTGGGAAGGATCCGGCAATCGGCACGGACTGACAACCATGTCATTGAATGACATGCTTCCATTGATAAAAAATATGGCGAGCTGCAGAGCTCGAAGGAATGGTGTTTCACCGAATAAACTCCAGGGAATTTCCCCGGTAGTTAGACCCTGAATGCAATATCGCTGCAACCTAAACTAGTACAATTATAGCTTAAATGATCTTCGCACAGCCTGGGTAAGCTTCATATAGACGCCAGACTAAAAAGCTTGACTGTTTTGTCACTAGGTGGGTGAGAAGGATTGCGAGGGCCCACAACGTTCAGTCCAAGTTTGCCACCATCATCCCGTCTTATATATGACAGTCAATACTCTCCTTTCCTGTATGGCAACATCCGATTGTGTCTTTCATATTTCCTATAAGCTATTACTGATTATAGCTCCGCTTCTTCTCCGACAATGGTCCCGCCTGGGGTATTCTTCTCCTTGAGAGTCTCACAAGCGATATACGCTGTCGCTACATTCGCACTCTTGTGTGCCGGTAAGTGAAGGCTATGCAAGGAGTTCCATGATAGAACATAGCTGACCTGACCATTTGATACAGCTGCTCATTCCTATTTTACCGCATTCGACCAAGTCCCGTGGGAGGTATCCGTTGCGATGTCCTCCTCGTGCCTCTCACTCGCGGCTGTCACTTATATGGCTTACACATCCCTTTCCCCTTCGCAAGGTACGTTAGACATCCTCGCTCACTAGGACCGTACTAACAAGCTTCTAGGCCTCAGCAAGCCATTGACATTCGCCATCTATTGGCTTGTATCTTTCATATCCTTGGTAGCGTTCATCTGCCTCGCAAAGTTCCTGGCGGGGGCTTCTGAATGTGAAGGCTCTCTTTGCGTTGTGACGAAGCTATCCACAGTTGTGATATTCTTTAGCTATGCTGTATGGACAGCTGCTACTACACTAGTCGGTATCGAGATATCGAAGGATAACGGGAAAGCCAATACTGCCTTGCAGGAGAAGCTTAAAGCTTTGTCTGATGACTAACTCATGTATGGTGTGAGGAAACATCCATAACCAAACCTTGGTATTCATGATCGATGGATATGGTCGAGATGCTTTGATTGACTCTATTGACAACAGGTGAAGGAAAATCATGTACATTTTGTTGGTTTTATTATGATTATCTGTCCATATATGTAGTAATAGCATGGATTAACCTTGTGGTAATTGATGATTCCCATTTTCGTTGACTTATCTAAGCGTCTTGCCTAAGGTTTGTATGACAGGAAGCACGTTAATGTGATGATACCCAATCCCTACAGGATGCCTTTGGCCAATGCATTCAGTATGGTAATTTCAACACGGCATATAGAACCTTTGAGATATATCATTACCCTACTGGCGGTGCATATTAAGACCGCCGACCGGAATGCCCTGCCACATATTATCTTAATCACCTTTATTTTCACTACGTGGAAGGGTGTCCGACGACAACTCTGAAACCTTGTTGTCACAGTTAAATAAAAAAAGAAAAAACAAAGAAAGAAAAGTAAAGAGGGAGGGAAAGAGGATGACACTGGTCTAATACATAGATTATAGATGAATCAGTCACTATCGCAAGGAAAATAATTCGTAATGATTCGATAATTATCTTGAAGCTTCGCATATGGATGTAACAGAAGTGATAGCCAGAACCCTGATATAACAATACTTATATAGACCTCTTGAAAGGTTGCCGTCTTGGGTCAAACTTCAACTTCGTGATTAGCTGTAGCTCTGTGGGATGACACAGGACGAGGGTCCGGCTTACTTTGATATTCTCGGTCTGGTCTAGCACTACGGCTCGTTCTCCAAAGCCAATCCATGTAGCTGGCAGATCAAGAGACTGGACCCTTTCTTCAAAGTCCTCCTGGGCTTTGCGGATGGCACTGATCGATTCTTTACCACGCAACGTCATCGTGAAGATAAATTGAAAGCTAACCGGAGGCTCCCCCCCAAAATAAGAACCCAGGTCAAAGTCAGTATCATCAGGTGTGTTCACAAGCATTGCCAGCACATCCTGTGATGCATGGCAATCTATACACGATACCAGCTCCGAGATTACTGTTTCCGAGGCCTTCCTCGGACTGTGTAGTGCAACGAAATACATGGCGACGAAGGCATTCCCTTTCAGCTGGTGTGTTTCGGAGGCAGAGGCAGAGGCAATGGATAAGGGAACCGTATCCTCTCTCACAAACATCGGAAGGACTGCGCTGAAGTCCGAAAAGTTTGCGCCATCGGGTCCCACTTTCTGGGCTACCCACTCCGACTGGAAGACATGCTTCAGGTGTTCTGGTGAGTCGAAATACAGCTCCGTCACACCATCACTGAACGCCCACGGTGGGTGGGCATTGGGAACGTGCTGGGTTGGGTCCGCGTGATATGCTGCGTCAATGAAATGGGTCTGGAAGTATTTCCTAGTCATTATTCAGCAATATCAACAGAGGGAAAGAAGCAGATCCGCCTACCTAGGAGTCTCGGTGGCAGTCGGCGCAGTACTGACAGCACCGTGCTTTTGATAGTGATAATCACAGTATTCCTCTTTTGTCAGACCGGCCTTTCGGCGCAGCGCAACAAGTTGCTTTACGGGGGCCATGATTTCCGTGGATTGCACGTGTCACAGTTTGTCTCACGGCAGTTGGTATGTGGCATGGGCGTAAGGGAAAGAAGTAGTACCGGTCAAGGGACGTAGCGCTCACTTTAAATAAAGTCGCTCTCCACAACGCAAGCCGTTCGTCTATGCCAGTTTGTCCTTCCCCCATCGGCCCCATCGGCCCCATCAACGGGGCCGATTTGTCCGTCTCATCCTCGCTCAGGCTTTGCCGAAAAACAACTATAGTATCGAGTGCGATGGTGTCGTCTCCATAAAATGTTTGTTCCAGCACAATGTATGTAGATTTGGAAATCAATCCGTCACCGCGTCCTTAACCCGATCATTCATATTCCAGGCGCCTAAGGGCCGAAATAATCTCTGTAATGATCAGCGAGACGGCCAATTTAGATTACTACGGCCATCAAAATATTGGATGAAAGAGCTATATGGTTCCCGGGTCGGGTGACCACTTCCCCGTCGGAACGGAGAACGGGTTCGTAGAACATCCCCCGCCGGAGTGGGGATTGGTATGAAAGGTAGGGTTGGAAGCCCCACATTCCTCAATATCCTGCTGTTGTTGCCGTTGGGTTAGCTTGTGTAGAGGTGGGGGTGGTATGGTGTTGGTGTGGCAGTCTGTAGTCTTTTCGTCGTATGTAGTCAGTAACACTCATTCCTCAGCTGCAATAGAGTCACCATAAACCGAAATCTCGCTATACCACTGAATTCCAGGCCATGCCCTAGGGAGCGTTTAAACGATGAAATCTTGCCTTTCCACTTCCATCTGAGTCTAAAATGGCGCATATGGAAAGGTCTTTTCTTCATAATGGAGCTGAAGATATGTATGGGATCATTATTAAGTAGAGATGATGTATATTTCTTTCTCAGTGCTAGGCAAAATGACACTCTCTTAACGTAAAGAATGCTGTAGAACCTTTTAACCTTCAGTACTTCTTAACTATGGTATATTTATAGGAATTCTTGCCTTCAATGCTCGCAGCTCTCGAAGTTACTTTTTCTTAAATGTTGCTTCGCTGTGTTTGTCTCGGGAAGATCAGACTTCTACTAAGCCGTAGATGAGGCTAGCCTGATCCACATAGTGCTTGAATTTCTTGCACGGAAAATGACTTTACGGATACCATACTAGGCCTAGTGCATAATTAAAACATTGATACTTTAGCAAGGGATTTGTGTTGCCAAGAACAGCGCTGGGTTGAACCTTTCAACTGGACAAGTAGAGTAGGGGTGAAATACCAAGACACACTTGGTTCCCTAGTGTGAAAAGTGCTTCCAAGAGATTGTCTTTGTGTTTCAAAAATTCGATGAACTTTTGTCAAATGAAATAAATCCATTGGGATCTGACATATTGGAAAGTACGCCAAATATATCCGAAGTTGGACCCTGATCCTAATATGGAAGTGTGGACTCAACTTAATCCTTGGTTACATCAGGCATTTCCTGGCCATGAACCTCAATACTAAAGTTCGCAAATTGGCTGGTTCTGAGTCGTTGACCGAATCCCAGAAATACAAAGAACACCATGCAAGATACGGTTGAAACAGTTGCCATGATGCTTGTACCAACATTCGAATCGAGGCAGGTATACATCTGACAGGCAAACAAAAGCGTGTGACGGAACGGAATAGCCGCGGAAAAGCGACTTGCGGCAATCTCGGCGATGCACTTTGCTATATGAGCTGGCAATGCGTTGACTTAATGTGGAAACGATCTCCTTCGCGCCGCGAATCCGAGCATGGAGGTGATCCACTGACTTTTGGATCGAATAGTGGGATGGTCCAGTGAATATTTGGAATTCCAGATGGAGCGTTGGTGCTGAAGAGCAAAGATAGTTCACATTATCTTCCATTGTAGAGAGTCTTCCATCAATAGTTTATCTCGGAATCCTGAGGGGTTCTCACACGGGACAAAAGAAACTTAGCGAACGCAGCAGCTGTAGCAGCAGCGTACTTCTGCCACATCTTGTTCTTATGCGAGTCAGCATAATCACAAATTCCGCGAATTACCAATGAAGGAAACGTGTTGACTATCCCCGCTGCTTCCATTTCGAAGCAAAGGATGTCATACTGCTTGGCTAGCTTGTCTCTTTGCGCTGCGTCCTTGATCACCTGGTTACCGGATGCTATTGTGCCGTAGTGGATCACAGGATCAGGGGATCCTCGCGGCGTCCGGGGTAGTTGTTGCTGAAAATCACAAGAATCGCAAGCTTTGTTCGCGTCTCCATGGATGTAGCCTGGCGCGTAAAGCTTATCATTTTCGTGACCTGGGTGATGATAGTTTTTGGTACACTCCTGAATCTGTTGTAGATATCTCTGCAGTGGGGGTGTTCTTGATAGTGAAGCGTCTGATTTGATTTCACTGAGCGCACATCGGAGGTGTTGTGGCGGCGGGTGAAGGTAGCCATTCAACACGGATGTCCCACATTTCAGCGCCTTCTTTAGGTCATATGGTATGATGCCTGTGTTTGCTCCAGACGGTGTGCTGACCACAATATCACCAAGCCGGATGTCATGTTTTGACGAGGGGACGCCGCCACCAACCCCAACCAGTAGGCCGAACTTCGTATTAGGGAAACTTCGCCTCATATTGGATGCAGCATTTGCAGCGGGGCTGGTGCCGTACTCACCATCCGGCAGACAAGTAGCAACGACACTATGATTATTCATACAGCCAAGTGCGTAGTAATTAGGATCGTCACCAGGGATAGATATCTGCTGGTGAGTGGAGTCGAACAAAGCACGGATGGCCATTAGCTCTATATGTAGTGCACATACAATTCCCACGGCGTACCTCTTAGAGGAAATGTGTGGTAATATTGACCTCTGGCAGGGCCTCTTTCGAGAGGCCTGGTTGTTGTCCGTGGAGGCGACGAAGGACCTTGAGCTAACAAACGATTCGGCATTGGGAGAGTGATGCATGCTCGAGTCGAGTGTGCTTTCACTATCTCCGAATGTAGTTGATACTAGGCTTGAACCTATCCCACTATCTTGCAAGGGATATTTGAAAAACCTTTCTCCTTCGAGATAGTCAACGTCTGCTGCCTCCCGTGAGGGGTCGCCAGTGTCTCCCCAAAACCACCTGTAAGTTGAATTGTACTCAAAGATGAAAGCGCCCTTCCCCTCTTTGTACGGCCTGGTGTATTGTGAGGATAGCTCCTGGCACATGCTAGATGGTAAGATGACTTGTGCGAGGTCTGGGTGGGTAGTTCCACCCGCGCCTGCGCAATGACATGTCCCAGGGGAAACTTCAGGGGTATGCCATATGACTTTGTCCGTAAGTCTCACTGGCTTTGAAGATGGATCCCCCGCAGCCTCCATAATATCCTCCAAATCCTCCTGGCAAACAGCTATGTATGACATGTCTTTAGGAACAGTTGCCCAGTGGGGACAGACATTGACAGACTGAATGATGTCCCGAAAGCCGCGTCCGAAGAGCGTAACAACATGGATTGATCGGGTAAAGTCCATCCACGACTTCCCATGGCTGCCCATCGCTGACACTCGTGGATATACTGGATCTCGTTCAGAAATTAAGTCATTGAAGTCCCATCCCTCTAGATTTGCCCTTGATATTTCCTGACTTGGAAAATCTCGCATAATATCATGCTGATGGTCAATAATCTTTTCTAATGTGTCGAAAAGGCTTTCTACGTGATCTTGAAATCTCGTGTACCCATCCTTTTCGGGATAGATCTTCAATCGTAGATTGCTCTGGTTGATGAGTACCTGGAGGGCCGACTTACGTTGATATGGCTGGTCCGACCATTGAACTTTGCTCATCTCGAACAGAGAGACGCCCTGAAAGCCATCCCTTTTGTCTTGTTCTAGGGTTGCACAAACGAGATGCAATAAAGCGCTCGTGCCGTTCACTAGCCAGCCACGTTTATCTGCTTCATCCCACAGGAGCACGTATTTCTTCGAAATCCATTTCAGTTTTCGTATGTAGCCATTTCGGGAAATGTGTACTGGGGTGTCTTTTCTCCCAAGGATGAAGGGCGAGTCCCCCGTAAGTAGCTGCCCCATTGAGATGGAAACATTAGCAAGAGGGCTTGTTGCGTGTGTCCTTGGAAGCCTGGACGCCTTCACATCATAGCACGCATCTGGTCCACCTATTTTGTTTAGCCAAAGCTCATGAACTAGACTTGTACAACTATACCTGCATGCAACTTCATATCTGTACACCATCCCAGAACATGTCGAGACCTCTCCAACTGTAGGATACTTATCCGTACCTGAGGGATGGCCATCCCACTGAGGTATGAGATACGATCGCCCGTTTTGTTGCATAGTAAATGCCAAGAAATTGTGTTCTCTTCGTACGCAGTCGGCACCAACATGGTTGAAAATCCTTTGAGGACAATATTCCCCGCAAAAGGGCTCATACGTTTAGTTTGTATCATTTCGGCCATCATCCGTAGTGGGATTTCAACTCCTAGTGCGGCAGCCCGCCTACGTTTAATAGGATAACCCTCCACCACCACCGGATTCCTGAAAAGGTCGTGCCAGCAATTCCCGTTCTTGCTAGCCGAGTCATCGCCTTTGCGCTCCACGTAGTCCAGATCGCATCTGAATGGCCCGAGGTAGGAGGAACGACTCTCGGATCTCAAAGCAAATGGCTGTCGATAAACAACCCCATCTGAATATGGGGATGTGTGAAAGGTAGATCCAAGCCAAGCTAGTATTTCACCAACTTCAGCGATAGTGTATGGCGGGCCACTGACCATAACTCCATACCTGTCGTAAGTTTGACATGGGAAAGTACTTATTATCGAGCCATCTGGTAGGACAACTAATTGGCGGAGTTAGTATCGGGAAAAAGCCAACAAGGCACTTCTCATACCTTTATGCTCCTGTCCCGGCCATCTAGCTGCCTGTTTAACTAATACCAGGACAGATGGCCCTATCGTCGGCCAAGTCTGGATTATGTATTCACCACGTGCCAGCGCCTGTAGCTGATTTGGAGAGCCGGTTAGTGTAATAGAGCTTTCTATTGCGATATGAGCCTCGGAATCGTATTCCTGTTGGCTTACAAAGCCAGACAAATCCCAACTCATAGTATATACCATGGAATAGCTCTCGGATATCCTCTTTCTACTTATGAAGCTTTTGACAGGTAAGATCTCGAGAACCACATCACGGACTCTCTTTATCGTGTTGGACTGCGGCGAAGTGAGGCAACATGCTTTTTGAATATTTGCCAATTAGGTCAGAATATGCTCCAGAATCACAAATCAACGATATATAAGTTAGAAGCTCGGGGAGATTGTTTGCTGCTTCATCTTCACATTGTTCTCGATTTTGATTTTCCGCACTGGAATCAAGATCGGATCCATATTGCGGTTCATTGGTGGAAGGGGCTGGAACGGTGACATCGTCAACATCGCTCTCTGTGTTCATCACTTGAGATAAATTATCCTTTGGAAATACATCCAGCAAATCTTCATTTCCTTCATCTGTTTTGGACTGCCACCAATTAATGATCTCGGATGGAGGAATTGCATCATCATTCTGGGACGGATGCTGGGCTAGCAGGCTTTCAGAGAGTTTCTCCCGTAATGCTACGACGATGTCACTGTTCCAGCTCTCCAATTAGAATCTGTCCTCTCCGCCTTAGATTAGTAGACTAACCATCTATATTGATGAACGAAAGCCATAATGTCTCGATAAACCTGTGTTTGGCGTTTGTGGGCAAAGCTCAGAGCAAACATCTTCAGAAAGCCCGGGAGAGCTTGGTACATATCCTCGAAGACATCTGCATCTAGGCTATAGGAGCGGATCGACGAGAAAAGCTCTTCTGCAAATGCTAACATGTAGGCGTCTTTCTTCGAACTGCTTCTATCATCGTAATTTAAGCTTGTAGTTTGGCCGTCATTCATGGAAGGGTCTATGGTACTAGGCCGTGCAGCCTCGTCCACAATAGCCCTGGTTTCACGTCCGTCAATAGGGGTAGCATCAGTCTCCAACTGTTGACATGCTCTGGTTCTTGACTGATACTCAAAACTAGTGATTGCGTCAAGCGACCGTACACCCTGCCTGGCTGAACCCGAATTTGCTGGTGCAGGTGGATTAGCAATTCTCGGTGTGTCATCAGAAGCAATTGTAGATCCTTCGAGTCCAAGATCTCCATGCAGCACGGTTTGGACAGCATGCAGTTGAATGGAAGACAATTGATCAACTCGGTCATCAGATGAGCGAGATGGCGGCGATTCATCAAGCGCAGTGGGTCTGGATGGGGGTATCGTGCTTTGGTCCAGTTGTGATGTGGGAAGAGGCGTCTGGGAAAGCAAAGCTTCAGACTCCTTTTCGTCAGAGTCTTCTGGGAATGGCAGAAGGAGATCTTCGTCAAATAGTGCAAGTAACTCATCAGTGCCCTCATCCCATAGTGCAAGTAGCTCAGCAGTGTCTATAGATTGAGGCAGAATAGCATGATGCAGTCGCCGTACTAGAGGTTTGGAAGAGTTTATTGGTGTAAGCGGGGGACTTGTGGCAATACCCTTGCATGAAGGGAATGAATCACACTCAAATCTGGAATTCTCGATATCATCTAGCTCCAGTGGACCTATGGATTCATATTGTACCCAGGTCACCCATGACAGCAGAGGGTAGCTCCATATCGCTCGATTTATCTATCATGTCGTGTTGAAGACTTGGGTTGCCGGATGAGTAAGGAGCCGTATCGGCGAAAGAGTCCAAGGAAGTTGATGTGGACCCGGAGCCTCTTCTTGTACCTGCATCCAATGTGAATTGCTCTAAAGACGAAAACTGCTGTCTTGAGGGACGGATGTACAACATAACCTGTCCTGCTACATGTGTTCTTAAAGCTCCTCTTTGTTCACCAGAGATGTTTCCAATATTTGAAAAGACCTGGGCCGGCCTATTGAATTCGTCCCAATTCAAACGAGAAGATATTCTATCCTCCTGGACCATTCTGCGCTGCTGCGCGTGTATATGGGGTTCCTGCACAGGCTGGGTGGGAGGCATGGCGAAAGGCTATCCATGCTATTCAAGGATAAGTGCTGGTTTACTCGGCCCCCTTCTTGAGTCTGCATAACCTAGAGGTAGACAAACCTCAATCTGTATAAGCTCGTTTACTCCCGTTGTAGAGAGCTATCTCTTTGTCTGTGCAAAACGAGTTTTAATTAGTATTCTGTCGACCTGTGTGTACTCTACAAACATATCGTGTTTTTGTCAGGATTACTCGTCATATGTATCATTATGAAAGGGTGTATAAATATAGTGGACATCTGGGTTACTATTTAGAATATTTTGAAAGACGAAGTTGTATAATTAATACCACCGAAACTATAAGTTACCTAACTTTCACAGAACTCAAAAGCAGGGTAGAAATATCAACTTTAAACTTTAAAATAATATTATTCTCTTTGGACTACAGACTCTTTGGGCTAGTGGTTTACGGTAGTCTTTATTTAAAAGTGATATAATGAAAATGGGTTGAGATATAGTGTTTAAAAAATGGCCATTTTTCAAAGAATCAAAAGAATGTGCCAAGGACTGGAGACAGGCTAAGTACTGCAAGGGGCGTTTTTATCACACCGCATCCATTGTTGTGGTCTAGCTGATATATTTAAGTGTGAGCCATGGTTCAATTGACAAGCCTTTCAAAAAAAAAAAAAAAAAAAAGAAAAGAAAACAAGCTCATCAGGAAACTTTGATCAGCGTTCTCCGCTGGAAAGTTCTCTTATACTATTACTCCTTCGGACCAAACACAGGAACACAAAATCAACCAAATGCACACCGGTCGAGCTTACGTAGTGACCGGCGGGTCATCAGGGATGGGCTTGGCTGTCGTGAAAAAGCTCCTCGGGCTATCGGCCACAGTTCATGCCATTGACAAAGCCTCAGAGATGCCGACCATCTCCTCTGCCAACCCCGACCGACTTCACTTCCACCCCAGCATCGACGTCAGCTCGCACGAGAAAGTAACGCAGACGTTCGAATCCATCATAAAACAGTCCCCCGTGATTAACGGGCTGGTCAATTGCGCGGGCATTATACTCCCCCCCAATATCCTCGAGCCAGCCGAGAACTTCAACAAAGTGATGGCAGTAAACGTCGGTGGAACATGGAATGTAGGAACAACGTATCTGCGGTACGTGCTAGAACGACATCCAGATACCATGCGCAATAGGAAAGGAGGATCAGTACCGGAGGGAATCGGGAGTCTGGTGAATATCGGATCTACGGCGTCTTTGTTTGGAAGTCCGGGGATTGCGTCTTATTGTGCAAGCAAGCATGCTGTTCTGGGGCTGACTCGGACATGGGCAAAGGATTTTGGGGATAAAGGGGTGAGGGTCAATTGTGTTGCACCTGGGGGTACGGATACCCCCTTGCTTAAGGGTGTACCTCCGGGTTTTGTCGATAGTTACGTTAAGAATGTGCCGTTGAGGAGACTAGCTAGGCCGGAGGAGATTGCTAGTACGGTTGCTTTCTTGCTGAGTGAAGATTCTTCCTATATTAATGGGCAGGTTATTCCTGTTGATGGTGGATTTCGTTAGTTTTTGTCCTCATACTATGATTTTCGGTATCAACTAGTTTGAATATTAATGAGAATGCAAGACACCTTTCTATTCAATCGAAGTCTTAACTCCCCCTCTCATCCCACGACTGAATAATGCCCTCATTACTCTCCTCATAAACCCTCAGCTCCAGATCTTCCCCTTTGACAACGGTGTTCGGCTGCACGATCTTCCATCTTGGTTTGGGTTTGGAACACAAAATCTGTCGCCACTCCTCATAGACGCCCTCGACCGCACACATGGGCTCGTATAAATCCTTACAGGAGGAGGAATCGGCGGGGCAGCCCCAAATGTGTAAATGGCAGAGGTAGCGCCCCAGAGCGGGTTTGCCGTGGGAGAGGATCTTGATGCGGTCAACGTAGACGGTGAGGAGATGCTTGAAGGTGGAGAAGTGAGCCTTTGTGAGAGTCAGACTTGTACAGGTTTGTGATATGCGGAGGTGAAAGAGGCTGATCTTCTATGCATACCTGGTGGTAGACCTGTCCCCAAGCTTGTTTTGGGAGTTGTATCATTCGAGAGCCTGAAGACCGTCAACGCCAATGCTGACATAGGTGGTGTAAAGGATTAAGATTCAGGTTAATTCTGTGAACGATAGCCATGATAATTTTAGTGGTTTGGGTGTATCCAAAAATATCTAAAAGGTTCTTTATTATCCATAAGGTATTCTAAAACTAGGATGACACGACCTTCTTCTATCGTTGAGGCCAGCTTCCCAAAGACGCTTGTCCATATCTGACCGGGTAAATAGTGCGAAGTTATGGCGTTGCCGCTCAGGGTACTAATTGACGGGTTCTCTTTGTCAAACTTGTAGACTCCCGGTCTAGTTTCATTGAGGAGTTTGTCGGTGCCATGGGCAAATAACTCGTGGATGGCTGTGGTGATGAATCTGAGTGTGTGCGGTAGCCTTCAAGTGCTGAAGTTCTCACGGATGGACCCAGTGACATTGTAGATCGGGGTTATTGTTGGAATTGAGGCGATTGGCGAGGACGATGCTCTTGAACCCGCAGGCTTCTCGGATCCATTTCCACTACACAAATTGTCAGTATGTTTTTATTGCGAATATCAATTTTCGAACCTTACGTTGCGAAGGTTAGCAGCTTCGAAGACAATGCTACCACACACAGCGACCGCCGAAAAAGTCGGCATATTACAATGATTAGAAGTAGGGTTCGGTAGTAGCTAACCGTGAAGAACGGTGAAGTCAGGAGCTTGGAAAAGACTCTTCTCGAAGGGTCCATTCCCGTAATCTACGTCCTCAACTGCCCATGTGAGTTGCCGAATGATAGCAGTTGAACTTTGGACAAAGCGCTTTAACCTTGCCGTCTCATTAGGGTCGGCAATTCCCACGATGGCCTCCCACTCCGACCGAATTCAAGCTGGATCACGGTAGGGCTCTATGAACCCAATCAAGTGCTCTACTCTTTCAGACCTATCAGAGACCCATATTTTCTGCGACTCCTGGTAAGCTTCTAAGTTACCAGTGCGAAAGGGTTCAATATAATGTTTCATGGCTGGGTTTGCTCCCTCTTGACAGTAAATGCGTTTGCATTTGTGAGACTAGAGCATTCTTTCAAAAGTTCTTCAGAGTGGTCGCCTCTGACGCAAAATATGCCATCTGCGCGTTTCTGCCCACTGCACGCAGAGGCTTCAACGTCGGCAGAAGCTTGCAATACTTAGTAGACAGGCTTACCGTCCTTAACTAGCTTCTCAACTCGGGTGTTCTCAGGTCCAATGCAGTATCTTTTCATTGCGTCCGATACCTTCGCAATCTCATCAGGAGAGATGGGTTCCTCGCTAGGATAGTATGCCGACCGTGCGTCCTTGCCAGGATACCCAAGGCTGAAGGGCGGGACAGCCATCATCGGGCTAAGGACTTTCTCGAGCCTAAGCTTTGTCGATGCGCCAATAATTGTGATCTTTCGCAAGGCATCAAGAGTCAAATCAGGCACGAACTTCTGATCACCTTCGCCCTATTGTAAACCAGGTCTGAAGCCATCAATAGCTCACTAAATCAACCGACATAATAGTTGCTCAATTTACAGAGAAATGTGGCAGCATACTCCAGAAACGATGCGAGCTATTTAGGTATAATCCCACATTGGTTTACCAAGGTGTCCCATTTCCCACCACAGGCATGGTAGAGATCTATGATGGAACCAAAGATATCTGTACTTTCTGATGAGACCTGTCGCATGTGTCGGACGAAGAGGTCTATATATATGACCTGGCCGCGATGCCCCTCATACATGGCTAGGAAAGAGTCAGGTCAGTGGTTGAGATCCCTTTATAACCATCTTCAATTAGTAGTACCGAATGATATATCTTCTTTGACCTCATCTTGAGTTCAGTATTGTGGTAGTTGTGCCCCCACCCTTCGTGAAAGCAGAACCATGTAACCGCCGATATGCGAGGAGCCCTGTTTCCATCCTGAGAGGCTAGACAGACGTCTTAGGCATTCACAGCTTTCAAGGACACTGGAGGAGCGGTGTATAAGCAGCATAAGCCATTCCACACCACCTGTTCTAACTGTTTCCGGCCATAGAATATTCAATTTCGGGTATGTCGGTTGTAACGGCCATATCGGCCATATCGGTGGTTGCAAGTATTCATCTCCAGCTCCGGCCGAAAAGTGCTGAAATACCGACATCCCTTTATAATAGACGCCTTTTCTCACCCTGTTCACAGCTTGCGATGTCATTACCGGTCCTCATATTCCTCTCTTTATCCAACCAACTAGAACAGTACACACCATGCCACAACTCAAAGTCCTCATCTGCGGCGCAGGCATCGCAGGCAACGCACTAGCATTCTGGCTCTCAAAGCTCGGCCATGAGACCACCGTCATTGAACGATTCCCAAAGATACGCGCGAGTGGACTCCAGGTAGACCTCCGCGGACCAGGCATTCAGGTGATGCGACGAATGGGCCTGGAGGAAGCCTTCCGTGCTCGGTCCGTCTCGGAGCAAGGTCTACAGCTCGTCGATCACAAAGGTAAAAGCTGGGGATATTTCCCTGCAAACCGTTCCGGGAAAGGGTTGCAGAGCTTCACAACCGACTTTGAAATCATGAGGGGAGATCTATGTCAGCTTTTGTACGATGTTACCAGGGATCGTGTCGAATATCGTTTCGGCACTTTTGTTAGAGAGCTGAAGCAAATGGACGATTACGTTGACGTCCTTTTCTCTGATGAGAGCAGAGAGCGGTTCGATCTTGTTGTAGGAGCAGATGGCTCCGGGTCTCATACTCGGAAGATGATACTAGGTTCTAGCGCTAAAGACCCGGTTCACCCGCTCGGGGTGTATGCTGGATATTTTACGATCCAAGAGTCGGTTCAACCAGGCGAGGGGTACAATGCGACTGCGTTTATTGCTACAGGTAACAAAGGGATTATGACTCGTCGCGCCGATCCGCATAGATACCAGGCATATATGTTCTGTAACCCAGATTCCTCTGAGCGCCTGAAAAGCGCGAGCAAAGGCGACATCGAAGACGAAAAGAAAGGATTGGCAGAGGCCTTCCTCGGGGTTGGGTGGAAGACTAATGAGATTCTCAAAGGCCTGATCGATGCCGATGACTTCTACTGTGAGCGGATGGGTGTTGTGACGATGGACTATTGGTCTCAGGGTCGCATTGCGCTGGTTGGTGATGCAGCGTATTGCCCGACCGCTATGACGGGCATGGGCACAACCTGTGCTATGGCTGGCGCCTATATCCTCGCTGGCGAAATCGGGAAGCACTGTGGCAAGGGCTTCCAAGGAGGAATGCCAGTTCCCAAAAATAGCATCGAGATTGCTCTGACCGAGTACGAGGAAAAGCTCAGGCCGTTCATCAATACAGTCCAGCGAGGGCTAACGGACAGTGACAATTACATGGACAAGTTCCCATCGTCTCCTCTCGGCGTTCAGATGGTTTACGTTGTCTTTTGGGTTGCATCTTTGCTGAGGCTCGACTTTCTTGCCAAATGGTTGTTGCGTGAAGATACGAAGGGTTGGAAACTTCCGGAGTACAAGCAGATGTTGGATCGTATGTCTGATTGAGACTGTGTCTAGCCGTAAAGGTCTGTGGATATTCTCCGCTCAATGTATTATTATGCCTTATCAGAATGTTGTAAATTTAACCGAAGTAATGAACCTTTTTCTACCGTTTTATATATGATAGAGACCACTACACTAACCGGAGTACTATATTAGTACATTAGTCAATAGGATACTGCCACCAATTCTCACTGTTTCGAACTTCTGACGACTGTTTATAGTCCAACCGCCATTTACTACAGGTCAAAGCAATTATCTAAGAAGCTCATATCAAGGTTTCCATCACCCAAAAAGTCAAACTCGGTATCCAAATCATCGAATAAAGGCATCATTATGCCGGTCGACGCCCATGAATCCAGAACGGGATCCGTTGTGTTGATGGAAGAATCAGCAGCCATAGCCTTTAGAAGATTATGGCACACACCCAGACTCCCGTGCAGAGCCTTTGAAATAGCCTCTTTTACAGGTAGGCCGTCAAGACGAGCCTCGGCCTGGGCCATCATCATGCTAAGGCATACGTAGACTTTAACATTTGTTTCCCCGTTCCACATTCTGTCTCTTGCATACTGCACCACACGACGAGCATCTTGTAGTAATGGTTGATTGCGAGCGCGGTGACTCTTCCTGGCGAACATCGACATGTCTGCATCGGGCTCCGGGCATAGTTCGAGAAAAATAAGCATTGCCCCCCAGGTAATGAGATCACGAAACATTCCCCCACCGGTGAGGAGAAGACGGTGATACGTATCGTCTTCGAGAAGTAATACTAGGTCCTGGGCGGCTGAAAGACAGACTTTCTGGGAGTAGCAATACATAGGATTTTTCTTGGCCTTGACCGCATACGGATAATGAAGGCACAGGGGAAAACGACGAAGGAGATGATTGCAGAAGCTGGAAGCAAACCCTACAGAATGTGCGTCGGTGCCGGAGGCAACCTGCTCAATTGCAACGGCAGCCTTGCCACATGCCAAGGCTAGTTCATCTCCAAGGGCTACAACCTCATCATATGAGGGCTCGTCCTGTAGACTGTTTATGACTATGGTCGCACGCAATCTTAGAGGTAATGATTCGGCCAACAGAGGCTGAAAGAAGATCCCATCCGAAGTGCTCGCTTGTGTTTTGTCTTGTGGCTCGTCGTTAATGGCAATAGAAGGCGGCTGTGTATTGTAGTCTGTATGCGTAATCATCGGTACCATGCCGCAGTCCAGTGCCGACTGCACATTGATTTCTAGAATGGTGTACCACAGCCTCCGTCGAATTTCCTTCTGTTGTATGCTCATCTCCTCGAGACAGTCTGGATCTTGATGTAAGCCCATCTGCATGGCTATCCTTACAAGCGAGCCTGCCGAGATCCAAACTAAATCGGCGCCTATTCGAGTTACCTGACGGGCAAGAAGCAATAAGCAATTGATCTGAATGCCTTCCAATGTCAAGCGATCCTTTTCCAATGGTGCAGAAAGCCATGTTTGCGCAATATGGATCCATGTGAAGCTTTTACTCATTATCTGGCTGCGGATATTCACATCTGTATGCAATGTGCCCGCAAGGGCCATGATAAGAGCAAGCTGTAATAGAAAGGGGCCCCTCGCCGATTCTGATTGGTTTACATAGCTCTTGTAATCCTCTCGGAAAGAGGGAGCGTGAAGAATACGGTAGCAGGATTCGAAGGTAGCGAAGTAGATCTCAATCAGTTCATCCATCACGCGCCGGTCGGGAAAGGATCGATAGAGATCAGCCGGCAGACAAGCTCGACTCGGACGCTTCCTTTTAACATTCCGGGCGAGCTGTTTGCATTCCAGGACCTTCTCTGCGATCTCATCGTGATGGCTCTGACTTTCCGTCTGAAACATTGTATCATAGAATTCCCCGAGTGGCTGGAGAGCTGAGAGTTCTTCTACCTTCGAGATTTGTTAGCGGAACAATGCGCACAATGATGACACAGGTGGAAGGACTTTACCATAGAGACAGTATTCATCCAATGCCCGTGGCCAAACACCCGTGTCTTCGATATGGTGCCTCGGATCCCTCTCGAGGTGGTTGAGGTGTGAGACAAGTCATCAACGGAGCGTGGCTCTTGCGGAGTACTCTGCCGTCTCATTGTCTGCTGGCGCTTGGGAGCTATACGAGGATGCTCCTCGTACGTACATGACAAAGCCACTTCTTGCTTAGTGCATTGGTTGCAAGGTTGGGCCCGGTCGCATCGGACTTTACGACGACGACACTCGGTGCAAGAGTACGCGGGCCGTCGGCGCTTCCGGGTCGGCTGCAGAGGGGTGTCCATTTATTCTATGTTTCCGGTCACAGGTTCTCGAGATAGTGAAAGACTTGAATTGGCGAGCCTCGAGAAATGATGCTTATCTCCGAACTCCCGATGAGCTCCGAGATTTATTACATAAGCCTATGTCCCAGCCCTCCATATAAAAAACACGGCAGATTAAAGTATATGAATAAAAAGCAGATAAAAGCATTTTAATTGGGTGTATACTCACAAGTACTTTATTTTATATCTATAATCTTGTTCGAAGAATTGAATGTTTTTATGGTGGGTATCTTTTCATAGACACGAGGTTTACATCTCTATATATAAACTCACGGGAACAACAAACTTAAGATAGCAAAATTGAAGCAACTCCACTATACGCTATATTTACATAAGAAGCAATCATGCGATATTCATAACTTCGTCCCTACAGGGTTAGTATGTGACTTGAACTCTAGAGATTGTATGTCGCCCAGGGTAGACCCTGCCGGGACGGCATTAATCTCCGTGCCGTGAAAGGAAGTCATGCCTGGTTGCCCGACATCTTGCGGCCGGGGCTCGTTGGGAATAGTCCCCTGCGTGCTCTCGCCTTGGCGGCTTGGTGGAATGAAGCAATCATAGTAGCGTGGTAGGATGAGGCCCAACAGCATGGCCAACAGACAGAGATGAGCCAGGATAAACCCAGCGATCATCATGGGGTCATAGCGCAAAGTGTGGAACTCCGGGTAGGCAAAACTGAAGATGATAGCCAAAACGGGGGCACTGATATACCTCAGTAGCACTGGCCAGAAGACAGGTATCTTCCAATTTCGCCCGCCGCCGATAATTTGGTTGAGGTCGCGTCGTAGTTGGTTGCCCTATAGTCAAAGTGGGACGTTTAGTGCGTGGACAGCTGAATAGTGAATATATCTTGGATCAGCTTACCGAATAGAATACTAAAAACCAGAATCGACGAAGGACTGGGCTTCGATCCCAGAACCTGGCTGCCTCCGCCTGTGGAGTTGTCGCGATACAGACCGCGACAGCAAGACAGACAACATACAGTCCAAAGCCTGCGCCCGCCCCGGCGGCTGGATTTTCGGTTCCATGAGCCACCGCAATACCGGCGATCTGTCCGCCAAAATAGCCAAAATTATACACGACAAACGCTGGTAGTCCTGTTTGGCCAACGACATCGGTCCACCGGTAGACCGTGGTGGCGCCGACCAGCTCGGACCATACTACGAATATCAAGGCGATATTGTTGACCCACCGGTCGATACCGTCCAGCAGGTAGAACCCAAACTCGGTGCAATAGGGAAGGCACAGCAAGAAGGAGATCAGAGTTAATGTCGTTACAATTATCGGGCGCGAAACCTTGAGCCCTGAATCGACAGCGAGAGTCGTCACCGCGTCCAGCATCACAAAGGCCGAACTAAACCCGAGCACCACAAGAGTAAAGAAGAGCAGCAGTGCCCAGAAGTTTGACCCGGGCATGTGAAGGACTGCTTCAGGCAACGTCAAAAAGCCGACCACAAAGGCACCCAGCCGTTCTCCCTCCTGGGGCCACCGTCGCAGGTAGCCTACCACACCGAAAACGGCGAACGCCGCAAAGTTCTCAAATAAGATGTTACTGCCACATATGAGAATCGCGTCCATTACCGCGTTGGAGTGCTTCGCATTGTACGAGGCATAGGAGGTGAAATAGCCGAACCCTATCCCCGTAGAGAAAAAGACTTGCCCGACAGCTGTCTGCCAGACCGTCCCGGATGCTAGCTCTGAGCTTCGCCAAGTCGCCCAGAGAAGGCGAACACCTTCGCTGGCGTTCTCTAGGCTGAGCGACCGACCAACAAATATAATGGTAGTGACAATTGGCAAACCCATCGTCCAGTAGACCACGCGCCCCGTCAGACCCACGCCGCGAAAGATCGATACCCAGATCAGGAACCAAATGAAAGCGCTCCAGCCCACCGTCTCTCCAATCACACCAAGCCCGGGATATTTGGTAAACGCGACAACGTCCTTATTTCCTTCGCTCAAGCTTCCCTGCACGGGGTCAACATTATGAATGACATCTCCCATATAGAACTCTTCAATTCGTCCCTCCCATGGCAAGGGACTGTAGAATGAATTGCGAAAATAGTTCATGATCCAAGCTAGGTTGACAGTGAAGTACTGGGTGACGATAAAGCTGACCAGGATTGGGCCCAATCCCACGCCCTTGAGCCGTCGGTTGATATTGTTGAAAGCGATCACGCTGCCTCCACGGTAGGCCTGACCAATCGAGATTTCGAGAATGAGGGCGGGGATGGCGATGAGAAACACGGCTAAGAAGTATGGAATGAACCACTGCAAGCCATAATTATTATAGACGACCGACGGGTACCGTAATAGGTTTCCTTGTCCTGCGCAACCACCCATTGCTGCTAGAAGAAAGGCCGCGCGTGAGGGCCATTGATCGCGCCCATCTTCCGACTTTGGGGGCGGCGGCGCCAGCCATCCCGCGATCTTTTTCAGGTACGGCAACAGAACCATGGTCGCCACGGTTCGAGTTGCAGGGTGTAAGGTGCAGTTTCAATCCTGAGGCTCACATAAGCATAATGTGAGGATTGCACATGTGGAGGGATGTCTGGGGAGGGTATATACTCCCGTCCCGCCCGGGCGTTATCGCATTTTGTATGGCAATGAAAAAATGGAGAGAAGGCGAAATATTCTTTTCATCTGATCTTGGTGCCTACCAAACGGGTCATAGGGGATGCTCGGCACCGGGCCAAGCTGCTTGGCAAATCTATTATATCAAAGAATCCCGGGCCTTGGGCCCATGCCAAGGGCTTGGATATCACCAAGGCCGTCACTGTCACCCTATCGTTACGTCCCCAGCTTGCCCTGAGTGGAATCGATGGCACCATAGCATGGGGCAAAGGCGACAGAAACCAAGAAAGGATATCGAAGAGAATAATGTTCGTTTTCTTGGCAATGCTGGTGATAAGGCTACCTAGACTTAGAGTATGCGACCCTTGTACTTACAGTCTCAAGCTGAGTCAGCTTTCCCTCAATGGTGCGAAACTAAATGACTCGTAAATGAGGTTAGCGAGATGAATTAGAAAGTGCTACTAGTAACAAAAACCGAAGACCTTGTGTGCTTGCTAGTACTTCCTTTGGAGACCGATCATTTCTCACAGCGCTTGGCGATTCTCCGACTATTATAATGGTCTTCACCAAGAACTCCAAAATAAATGATCCCGTATTGTAAGATTTTGCATTTTCCAGGATAATGTCTTAAACAAACACCGCATAATGTCTTTGGCGGGGAGAAACTCGTTGATTCCTTTTGAAATGGTTGAATCTACTAACTAACATGGTGGTGGTGGGAGAAGAAATGGGTCGCTCAGCAATAAGAGCGCTAGGCCAATTTAGGATTCTTCAACAGAAAACCCTGAGTGAGTAGAGGCACCTTCTACGAAGGTAGGGACTTTAAAGCTTTTTAGTAGATGTACCTAAATTACCATGATCGAAATAATGTTCTTGCGACCAGCGCTTCAATCCCCTGAATTTGTACCAACTCATGAATAGTTGGAATCAAGCATAGCCCTTACAGCTGCACAAGCTCCACCACTGGTCGATGGCCATTTCCTTTTCCAAGCCCAACTGGCTTTCTCCCTTCTGCAATGGCCTTTAAATACTCCTTATCCTCAGTGTATTGCAATAGCCTATCAATACGGCCCACAATCCGTAAACACCCCAGCCTCGGCACCGCCTCCAACTGCTCCACACCAAATAGCACCAATGGCTCGCATGGCCGTCGAGACACAGCATACTGTGGGATACCCAGACTCTCTGCCTCCGCGAAATCCAACAACTCTTCCTCCAGCCTTGTATTTGTGATCAGCAATTCCACAACATCAACCTGATCCATATACATCAGTTCCTCAGCGAGGAATTGCATGTTGCTCTGGTTCGAGAAACATTCCGATAAAGCTTTGCTGCTGAAGTGAAAACTGAGTCTCCGAATATACCTTCTTCGTTGGGGGCTCATTCCAAGTAACCAGTTGCTCGCCTTTGCGATATTTCCTGATATAGCGAAAAATGTTGACGAGTAGAAAAATGGCATTGCTTCCTCATATATTGTTTTGCAGGTGGCCAAAATGGCGAGAAACAGATGTCGGTGTTGGCGATATATATGATGTCGGGACTGTTCCTTCCTTGAGTAGTGCTTACTGTCTATTTGTGCATAGTTGGTTGCCTTTGGAGCGGAGGGTGTGTGTACGTAGACCTCAAATGTCTTTGAGAGACGCATCGAGGTCTCGGTGTTGTGCGGCAAGTCGCTGTCTAGACATGCCTCGCCGACTCGGAGTCGAGTGTGTGGGGCGATACCGAACAAGTGCCGGTAGACTTCGAATCGCAGTTCGGATGGCAACTGCAGGAAGAGGAATGGTGTTTTGAGTGGCATAATGTGACTTTTAGTTTGAAAGCAGGATTATAATATAAAAAGCCGGGACGTTAGGTGAATTTATAGGTGGTCTGCTTACATTCTATCACTGGCCAATAACTGTTGCATAGCTAAGCCTCAAGAATTAGGGCTACAGCAATGCTCAGCCTCAACCTAATATACCACTTGTGATATTCATAGGTCGCATGGTCCCACGCTTGTGTATTGCGGTGATGTCAGGGTTTTAATGCGATATTTGTCGTCGCTGCAGAACGGTATGTAAATCATGTGCGGCACTATTTCTCGACAACCTCTTTCACAAGGGTAACAGAGAAGTTATATGGATAGCAAAGGTTTCCATACCTATTACTATCCAGATCTGGTGGCCAGTGATTTTGCGGAATATGATATTGACTCCGACAAATCATTCACATTATGCAAGAGTGGATCGTGTGATGAGATCTCACGAATTGCTCTAAGAACTCAGCTTTTGCTTCAGCTCCAAGATGACTACTGGCTTTACTGTGAGGCACGCTTGAAATTGCAGCCACGCGCATTGTTCTGGCCTGGCATCGAATCCTTCCCACCGCTATCCCTGGAATGCATATACAGGACGAGAGTTATAGACCTATGTCCTTGCCTCTCGTTGACCTTTTTCGATCGAACCCGGTTAGAACGGTGGTTACATACAGGACTTACAGACACCCTCTCCAAGCGCACCCAAGAGTCCTTCAAGCTGCTGACCGCGGTCGGACAGGTATCTCTTGTACACAAATGTTCGATACCAAACACCCCGGAAGTATCGATTGACATTTTGATCACAGTCACTTTCAACGAGAGTATGCGCCTGGAAGCACAAACAGGATATTATGTTCGTATGAACAGCTACAAACCTACGAATTGGCGGGTGACGCCTCGCGACTGGCAGAGCCATCCTACTGAGCACATATTCCTCTGACCGCATGTTGATCTCCTCCCGCTCATACGTAGCTCATCTTTCTGGCCACGAGTTGCATGTAAGTCGTGCGAGACTAGTGCGTGGGTGGCTAGCTGTGAGGAGGAAGCTTTGTATGTTGTTGTCCAGGGATTACGAAATATGGGCAAGCCTCTTTGATATGAAGATCTAGACCCAGTATGGCATAGGGTCGCTCGTGAGAAGCCCCATAACATTACTGGTGCCATGATTATGTACAATGCCAAGGCATTTGGTACTAGGCCGGAGCTTTGGGGGGCTTTTTATTCTGCGTGGAACAGGCGTCGATCGTTGGAGCCATAGGTATCCCGCCATACTGAACACATCAATGGGTCCCATTGCCGAGAATGTCACTTCAGTTGCAATATCCTACTGCCTTTTGCTATTGTCAATGGAGAAATGAGCTTATTGTTCAACAAACATCCTAGTTATCTTGATAGAACAGTAGTGAGCTTTTGATAACCTCTATACATATGTCTATATCCCGGGGGTTTATATGCTTCTCCCTCTATTAACTTCAGTTTGATATAATTGAAATTTACGTGTTTGCCCTACGAAACCTTTCCTTTGATACAGTATAATTGATTCCTGTCAGCTTATCATATCAACTATTGATGCAAATGGGCAATTTCTGGCTATCGTAAATAAGAAACTCAAATGTGACACCGCTGCTTTTGAACGATACAGAATATACGCAACTGAATGACAAAAGAAGACAAGGTTTAATATTTAAGGAACATATAGATATATATGCTTTGTAGAAGCAAGATACTGATCAGGCGCCTGCAAGTGCCAGACGATTCGAAGCAGCGTAAGCTGTTCACACAATTGCTGCTCCTACTCCTGGCCACTGAATCTAGAGCCCATGCTCAGCATCAAGACATTGGTGGATCACAGTCATAATATTGATGCGTCGGGCATCCATCGCTAAACCAGTGGTCAAAAAGATCCCTTAGTAAGGCCACAATACTACCAATGATGATGCCCTCTGTTTCTGTATATCTGTCAGAAAAATCTTCGGGAGACGGTGAAGCCAATGAAAAAACAAATGTGGCCCACTCTCCTTTCGATAGGTAGATATCGTGTGTCCGTTCTTACTTATTACCAGGACATGAGACTATAAACTTTTGTAGACTTTCGAATACGCCGCATGGCTAAAATAAGGTTGCTCGAGATCATCAAATAATGACGAACAAATATGGTTCGGTGGTTAATGATTCATGAAGTCTGCGCTAATAGGAGTACTTATCTAGGGGGATAGAGAGGGAAATGCATACCTGACTATAGGTTCTATTCAAGCCTCTTCCCAGATTATCAACGGCCGTCTAGTACAGTACTGTGCTTTTCTAAGCAGTATTTCTCCTTTTCTTTATACACAGTAGATATCTCTATATATATTTCTATTGTTTCCCTTGTACGTAGAATCCTTAATATATAGTACCAATAAATATTTTGCTAAGATACTAATTTACAATTTTTAGAGTTGATATCGGGGCGGGTGTTGACCCTACAACACGAAACCTGGAGCGGGTTCTAGACCTAGGAGTCAGGACCCACCTAATGCTGATCCACAGTCATGTTGATACTCCGTAGATTCAAGCAACACAATCAATCTAAGCAAGGAATTTCACCCACATGACCATTTGACACTTTATAATAGTCTAGTCGTTAGGAATCAAAGCTGCTAGAGTGGGTTAACCTAACTTTAACCGAGTGCCGTAGTTAGGTTAAGAAACTTTCGATACAAATCCGACTTTATTTATACCTTAATGCCTTGAGGGACAATGCACCCTGGTTGTCCTGGCCGGAAGAATATATAGGGCAAGGCTGAGCTTCAGAGTGAGGAGGATATAGGGGAAAGAAGAGGCGGCAGGGGCACTCACACTAAAACACAATAAATGCGAAGAAAAAGAAAAAACAAAACATACAACAGGAGGGATTCGCTGGTGGTCACCCACCCAACTACTAACCTCCCGGCGTGTGGCTTAAGTACGGCTGAGCGGACGGGAAGCCCTGTTCTCCACACCCTATGGTCGTATGTGCTAGTCTGCTGTTTAGATGCAGTATACGAGGTTTACATAGAGATTAAAATTAATACACCCGATTCACCGACTAGGAGTACTACTTTCAACCGGAAATACCACTACGATATACCGTAAAAGACGCGGTAGATGTCCGCACGTTTTTAGGTATTCGAATGGGATGTTTTTCCATTCAACAACCGTATCTATACGGGACCCACGAACCTAAACAAGTAGTGTATCCAGTGAAGTTTGGATTAGATTAAGGTACCATTCACCACCCATCCGGCAACCCAATGCTGGAAAAATATATTATATGGACATTCATAGCCATATAAATATTTGATGGTCTATGCCGTTGCCCGCCTTGCCATAGACACAACCTATCGAGAATTTTCCAATTTCTGAAAACGCTAAGCACAATGTCTAAGGCCAATCTCGTCACTGGTGCAACTGCTAAACATGGAAGCGCAGTGATTAGGTGTTTGTTGGAAGCCAGCACAGATTCCACAATCCTCGCCGTTACACGCCACCCAAGTTCTCCTTCCGCTCAGGCGCTATGTCAAAGATCACCACGATCCAAACTTGTGCAAGTTGACCTTGATGACCCAGCGTTGATATTTATGAACGCAAAGAAAGGAATCCCGGGTATGGCAAGCGGGGTGGGGATTGGGAATGACAACCCATCCTTCTATTCCCCTCTACGCTTGAAGTTCTAGCTAGATAGTACCGATATCATCATTAATTGGCCGTGGCATATAGCGCTTAGAATGCCACTAGTTTGAGACATCCTTATTGATGTCCGGACCGGTAGCCGGTCTTTTGCCAGAAACAGATATTTGGTCCTAGAAAGTGTTAACTGACAGAAGAGGCTTAAGTCATTCAACTCAACAGGATATACCTGTTGACTACAGATTCAAACAAGGCAGGCCTTCACCTACACACCTGGAACCGTCCGTAGGATATGCTCTTGCTGATAGAAATTGATCCTTTTAACTTAGTGGTTGACTAGGTTCATTAAGAATTAACATTAAGATACAGTTGTAAGGCCCCTGCATTCGCACCAAGGATATGGGAAAACCCAACCTGATTGGGGTAAAAACCATAACAGGACCATATACAGACAGAGATGGAAGATAATCCCCTACGAAAACAAACAATGCACTGCAGTTATTCCCGTGAAAGAATATCACAGTATACCGACAATGGATCATATCGCAAAAGATCTGGCCAATTTCCGTCATATACGCGGCCTTCGTAACCATTGCAACCTGCGTGTCTAGACAGGGTTAGCTTATGTTTGATTAGGGATAAAGATGTGATCCCATACCTATAAATATCGCAGTAATGGCCCCGTTTGATTTGTGCAGATCCAAGGTTATGTTTCCTAATATCGTTTAGTAAAATTTTCTATAAGTCAAATCGCTCTACACTTACAAAGGTGGGTCTAAATCAGTGCAGCGATGAATATAGGGGTCTTGGATCTCTCCATCATAATTAGGCTCATTGTATAGCCTTACCTATGTTTTATCAGCAGTATATCCTTGATTAATCATCGTACAATCCGGGTTTGTTTGCAAGGACTCACATTAGTAGTTGCAGGATAGTAAAACCTGGCAGTAACGAAGAGAGGCAAGATGGCTACCGCCAGCGCAGTAATCTTAGAATAAAGCATTCTGGCAGTCACTAAGAGCAAGAGATAGATTGGTAACAAATATTTTGATCTGAAGTGGTTATTAAAAGATAATGGATGATAGACATTCGTACAAGCAACAATATTGTGCTGAACGCGTTGTTTATATATTTAGCTGTGGCGACTAGAAACACACTATCTACCAACTATGATGTTTAAACTTGAGTGTCGTTTGCAGCAGTGTAGTATCTAGTCTAATCGTCATTATTCTATCGTCGCCTGCTATTCTCGGTCATATAATAGAGTCTTTGCTCGATGATTTGAAGCTTTTCCACGGTGATATCAAGGTTATGACGTCCACATCTATTGGAAGATTTTTATTGCTGAAGCACTTCATGCAAACAGCTTTATAGATTTCAGTTGATTCTGGATAGTTGCTGTGTCTAGATTCTGTAGATACGATGACTTCCCTAAGACTATGATATCATTTCATAACCTATCAGCTATAGTGACTAAGGCCCGATAATACAAGCTTTAAACCTAAGCTTTGTTTAAACCACTTTACTTCCCAACATCATTTCCGGTGGCAGAGATTGTATCATATCTCATTTTAGTAATGCTAAATTGTAGCACTGGTAAACTCGATACTTATATTTCCAAAGGCTTACACAGATACATAAGTGACGCTCTGAATCTTCCATCCTTGATAAACAATAGTCTAGGCTCGCTCAACGGGTATGTAACATCCAGTTCTAACTTTTCCTGCTATACTCCTAAACTTCCGAGACTCGGTTCCGGCGATCCCTAATCACTTGCTGTCAGTCGTCCTACCGAGGAACGTCGAACGTGAAACCGTCGGTAAGGATAGGTTACAAGAGCCATGGCTCTATCAAGGATATCTTATAGCCTATGTTCCCTTAATATGTAGCTGACTTTGACACTAACTCGCTGTTCCAGAAGCATGGCCATATGGTTCAAAAATTTTATCGAGTCTCTTTTAGAAGTAACCCTAATTAGTGCTATCTATTTCTTTTCATACACCGTAAAGCGTTACTGTATTCAGCGATGAACCTATCAACCATAAATATACTGATGTAACACGAAAAATTTTAATTATGATTCTGACACATCCCGGTTAGGGGGTGTCATATTACACAATTACACTTCGATTTGACAGCGGATGTGATATAGCTGAAAACGGCAAATGCTTTATCTGCGGCCCGGCCGTACCGTGTTTAGGCTGCCTGTCAGTCCAAAGTCTAACTACATCGCACACTCTGCTAAAGTGAGAATCTATTTATGACATCATACGAAACCGTATCATTTGTATTCCGATATATTAGTTTTAAAAACTATACTGGTCATCTTCGTCGTTGACTTTATGGCTACCGCAAATCGGGACTATTTCTCTTTCTCCAAAGATCCTGTGTATCAAGAATTTGCCAAGAGCCTAGGCGGTTTGATCGAGAAAGCTCAGTAGTCGACTTTACCTACAACTACAACATCGTGTAAGGATCACCAGTTCAATCATTTTAACATAGTGGTACAGTGAATGAAAATGTATTTGGTGCTGTCAAATGTGCGTTTTGAATAATACTATCTAAGTCGCAGCAAAGCTTGTCTTATCGCTAATGTTCTTTAGTTATGTTGTTCATTGCGGTCTCGTCCTTTCTTCCCTTGGTGTTTCTGACCAAGGGGCTTTGACTTAGCTCCAATTAATAGCAAAAGTGGGTTCTTCTTACCCTGGTCACAAACGTCGTATTGCTCTTTTCACTGAAGATCTCAAGTCATTGTAGTCAACAGGCAAATATAGATACCGGGTCAACCGGAGGGGTAACAAGCCAGATATAATCATTGGGCTATTCACAGTAAAGCCCACTAAAGTGTTGCAGTGGAACAAAGCGCACACAAGCCTTAAGGTCGGTGAGTTCTGAATGGTAGTAAGAGTCACCTGTCCCGCATGCCCTTTTGCGGGAACATCCTTGACTTTGGTATGTTACGATATAATATGCTTAAGGGGGATAAAATATCAGTATTTACACTTTGGGTTGTTAGAATATTCTGCAAAACCACGCGTAGGTACCAATGTGCCGCATACAAAGTAAGCAGTGGAGTGATTAGAATAGTAGGTTAGTAGCTAAGACGACTATTAGAACGAGCTAGTTCCCTCCATCGATTATATGCAAAGTCTCTACATTCCTTATTTCCTGATTTAGTAGTTCAATCTCCTTATTGCGGTTTGCAAACTATTCAAACAAGACTTAGTCAATGCCTCTCAGTATTATCCTGCGAAAGAAAATCCACTTTCCCAACCCGATCGTGCTCACTCCCGCTGTTGAACGAATGTTACCTGGTATGTATAATATCCAAGACGTAGATTTTAAGTACTTTTAGATAGCTTTAGATACTATTTAGATAAAGGAATAAACAAAAAGTAGTAGTAAAGGTATTGAATCTAATGTCAAATGGTCATATAGGTGCAAAATCGTTGGTTATTCTACTTGTGAGGTCTTAACTATGTAACTATCAAACAAAGGCGCGTCAAACCAAAACAAACCTTTGGGGAGAGTTTCAGTTCGAGAGGTGTGCCCTTGCCTCTACGTATGGTATTTATATTGGCAACTTGTCTTGCTGTTTTTATTCATCTGCTACATTATTTCTTTAATATATCCCTGAGAATTTTAAAGTCCATTCTACTTGTCTGGAAGAATACTTTGCCCTTTGTCCTTAGTTAGCTGTTGCATCTATATGTTACCCTTTTACTGTGCTTATTAGAATGAGACTTAATCGAAACCAATACTATTTCTCACCTTCTATGGAATATGGGTGGCAATAGCTCTCCGCATTATAGGACACTACACTTGAGCGCTGACGCAGAGCGAAGGCCGGAAGCCAAGCGGAGGAGAGAAGAAAAGAATGCTAGTGGAGCGCAGAGGAAGAATGGGAACAGGAGAAAGAGGAGAGAGGGTGTGTAGAAGAACGCCAGCGGAAGGTAGAAGAGGAATGAGATTAAGACAGAATTAACGCGGTACACAACCTGTCTAGAACTTCTTTGTCACTTCTATACAGTTTTCTCACTGCCTTTACAAGCCGGAACCACGTCTCGCTCTACGATAGGAAAAATACCGCTGCCAACCGGGAAATGCTGTCCCTTACGACTTAACCCTGAGACGGACTGTGGCTTCAGGCAACAGGAAATTTACTATTCTGTTCGCACCTATTTAGAACCACCTGGCGAGGCCGCGACACAGCGATTCTCGCCGCGACGTGCGCTGGAGGACCTGGGGCAACAATCCAAACCAATAAGCAATCAACAAGACCTGGAGAGCTATGAAGGGTTTTGTGTAGAGAGCTATGTTCGCGATACTATCGCACAGTTCTGCGAGATACCAGCCGCTCGAGGAAAATTTCACCTAGGTGATTGGAGTTCGGTTCCACAATCATGCGAATGCTCTCAGTTCACCGAAGCTACCGATATCCAAGGAAACGAACCGTCATGTTCCCGACGCTCGAGGCAAAGGCGTAAATCCAACATTGCTGCTCGAGTCTGACATGTTGACCTTGTCTACGGCTGTCGCAATAGTAACTACTACGCTCCGTACATATTGTTGGACTGGGGGGCTTGGTTAATCGGTGGGCGTCCGGGTTCAACGCTGCGGGGGAGAGCCACGTAGCTGACAAGATGTATCCTGATATAGGAGTAATTGAATTCCTTGTGAATGAGGAGTTATGAAGTATAACGATGCAATTGGCCATCACCTCTTTAAGGTGGGTTGAAAATAATTGAAGGCGTAGCTTGAGGTTGACAACTCAACGCATGCGCGGGGTCTAATATCTGTAGAGTGTCCGTTGTGGCTTGCGTCAGTGCGAGAGCAAGCAGGCAATGCCGCATGGGGAGACACTCTTCAGAGGATATTTAGCTAATTGAATGCAATGGAAATAGCGGTACCATACTATGCATGAGGGTGGAAAAGGTGGAGGCTTCTTGACCAATGGATCCCGATGGCGTGCACCTGCATACACGACTGACACTGCTGCACAAATATCTGCAGATTCCGGCCGCGAATTTTAGGGAGCCACGTATCTTCATCGGTAGTCGATGTAAATATCTACTTTGGCGATGTAGAGTGAATCTCCATCGCAAAGGGGGTGACGCTCTCTGAACATGTTTCCGACGGGAACATTTTAAGATATTACAAATTGTTACTTTTAAACTCAACCCGTTAGTCAGTATGATAGACAAATAGTATAGGAATGGCATTAACAAATAGTATTTCTCACATATATAACATGGTCGAAAATAGGAACAAGATTTCAACACTGGGTGAAATAAATCGCGCAATAGCGCATCATGCATGCAGGCTGACGCGACATCCATAGTTAATGATTGGTTTGGCGGGAGGCAAGACAGAAGCCCGTATGCATGGTTCAGTTTCTCTTAGAAATGGAAACAGATGAGATGAATACCTTGCTAGCCAGAAGACATGATCAGTTTTCGAAACCAAGCTATAAAGCGTGGGTATCTGCTCTACGAAATCAGCTTTTCAAAAAGCCCTCAGTTCACCCTCTCAATTCACAATCAAAACAAGCACAATTGGCATTCAGTACATCGTCCAAACACCATAACCATGAGTGACTTCACTGGACCCAATGTATACACCATAGTCGCTCGCTATGTTGACAAGCGACTTGATCTCGATAGCGGCAAGAAGGAAGATGGAACCAAGCTGCAGCTCTAGTATACCACTCCATACGCCTTGATCGTACTACATAGGGAGTAACTAACACTTTCAACAGTCGGCCATTTGATAATGGCCAATATGGTCCAAATCAACGATTTGTCTTCGCTCATGCTGGCAATGACGAGTACCTCATCATCAATGTCAGGTCTGGCACCTATCTAACGGCTTGTATGACTGGAAACCCCAATCCTTTGTGTGAGCAGTGATGTTGATAATGGGAATTATTTTAGCCGATGATAGTAAACAAATCACTGCTAATCTCATCTCTCCCCTCGAGAAACGAGTGCGTTGGAAGATTGAGCCCGTTAAGGATCGCAGTGGAGCATACTTGTAAGTTTACTGTCATATATCTGAGGGTATTGGCTGTGCTAATGCTCATATCTTTGTTCCAAAATAGCATTGTCAGTGTTGCGTTCCCCAGCAAGGTGATCGATATTTCCGGGGCGAAAACCGACGATAAGACTGAAGCCCTCACCTACACCAAGAACGGTACTCAGCATCAGCAATTCTTTTTGAGATCCGCTTAGTGGCGCATTAGGCTCTGGGTTCATCCGATGAAGCGGTATGTACACGAGTCTGATATTAGTCCATACAGAGTACATAATGACTTGAAGATGACCACAATTCAAATGTATGCCTGTAGCTACCAGGTCATTCATATGGCTATCATCTGCAATTCTAAATTACCAAAACATTCCCAAGGTTCAGTAATCTCTATTCCTGATTTATCAAGCTCTGCCTCCTTTCTGTAGCTAAGTATAGAGTGGCACAGGTTTCCCGCCGGACCCGACCCAAACCCGGGTACGGGGAGACCCGTCGAAAACCCGACCTGCGTGCAACTCTAAATGTAATACTTTGAGATTATTTAGTTATAAAATATATATTTATTCTCAACTATATATAAATCCTCTCTTATTTAATCTACAGTTTAGTATTTAACTCGTAATTCTTTGGCTGATTTATTGCAATAGATACAACCTTTTATATATAGTTTTATTGTCTCTATTTCCAAAGACAGATAGGTATTATATCTTTCCTATTACGTAGATTATTATATAAGAGATAGGTGGATATACCCAAGGCCTACAGCCCTCGCACCAATAATTTGTCGAGCCTGGTTCAGGAGTAATCGGTTGAATTTATTCTACCGGTCCTTCATCTGCAAACGGTTGGGTATTCTCCACCTTCGGTATAATTTTCCATAGGTTCGTGATGTGTATAACTTTCCACACGTCTTTATAAAAGCGTTGCATAGAAAACAGGCATCTTTGCTGGATGCAATGGCCCGTGGAAATTATTCAGGCATTGACTTGATGTCGCAATAGGCAATGAGCTGTATCTCTGAGTGAATTTGTTGTCTCTTTCAGAGTCTTCGGAGATCTACTCGAGCGGAACAGACATTTACTTGACGATTTCGATTTTATTTATTTTTATTTTTATTTTTATTTTTTTTTTTGTTCTTTGCTAGAGTACATCCCATCCTAGAGTATATTCCATGCAATTTGCCCGCATCTTGGCCCAAGGTCACCAGCATGTCCATGATAGACATCTCACTCGTTCTTTGGTTCAGCGGGCAACTCCCAGACACCGGGAAGGGCAACCTGAGTGCTAGTGAATTTTCTGGCTGAGACTTTTTGCTGAAACAGGACGTTGAGCTCCCCATAGGTCCGGCCAGTCGGTTCAGGGATACAGAAATACGCATACACAACAGACAAGACGCATGTTCCGCCGTAGAAAAACCCCGCTTTCGCGCCCCAGTTCCATGCCGACGGGTTCAGCATATATGGGGTGATGATGTTGCTGATGATATTGAGGATATTGTATGACGCACGCGCCAGCACAATCGATTTGGTGCGCAGCTGCACGGACGGGATCTCAGCCACCAGTGAGTAGCAAACGGGGCCGATGGTGACATCGTAAAAGAATGCATAGACCAATAACAGAGAGCCGACGGCCCAGGCCAGTCGAGTCCTCTGGCTGCTACTGGCGGAGTCCTCAGCGACGCCCAGGCCACCGATCACCAGCAAGGTCACAGCCAAAATCGCCAATCCCCACAGGTAAAGGGTCCGTCGGCCAAACCGCGGGAGCATCGCCCAGGCAATAAACACGCCGACAATGCCGAGAGCATACTGTACGATCGTCATATTGAAGGCGGAGGCTGTCGGGAGTCCCGCTTGCTCGTAGAAGTACGTTGAATATATGCGTAGCCCCGTTCCAGATAGGATTTGAATGCACCAGACGCAACAAGCGATGATAGTACGGCGGCGATCGACCCCGTAGAAGCAATCCATATAGCGAACGCCGGTCCCAGCTTCCCGCTCGTTCTCTGTTGTCACCACCATCAGTGCAACTGCCTCGTCCGCATCAAACTCGATTCGACTCGATGAGGTTAAACGAAGGAGTGCCGCCTTAGCTTCATCCAACCGGTTCTTGCGGACAAGCCACCAGGGTGATTCAGGGGTAAAGGCAATGCCGATCATCAACGGAATGGGCCACATCCATTGCAGGGCGAAGGGAATCCGATAGGACCACTCGTCTGTTCGATTGAGCATAGCTCTCAGAACACCGGAGGCAAGGAGCTGTCCCAGAACCTAATGTCCATACTATGGTTAGCTCCAGCAACCTTTATGTCTGGGACTGTGAACCTTACCCAGCACAGGTTGACGTAGGTGGTGAGATAGGCGCGCAGATGGGTAGGGGCCACTTCGGCGGCATATGAGGTGGTTAATGTCTGGAAGACACCCCATGGGATACCCATTAAAACCTGGCCGACCTGCAGCACCTCGATACTGGGAGCAAAGAACGGAATGAAGATCAGGACGGTGATCAGGGCGAGTGACGCCAGCATCGTCTTCCGGAATCCGAAGCGCTCAGACACGTAACCGTTCAGAAGGAGACCAATGATCGACCCCACCGAAGAACCGTTGTTGAGACCTGCCTGCCAGGCGGCTGTGATTTGATATTTGCCTGGTTTGTACTGATAGCCGTACTTTTTCTGGAAGGCGGGCGCGGCGAGGAAGGTGCCCATAAGCTTCATGTCGTACCCTTCCATGATGATCGCCAGGGACAAGAACATCGACCATGCAATTGCCTTGGGGTACAATCGGAGGGATGGTAGAAGAGTGAGTTCGTGTTCTCGTTGGCTGGCATGGTTGGCTTCCTCCAGAACGTCCTCCTGCTGGTTCCTGGGGGTAGCCATTTTATCCTCGACATGAGCAGAGGCCATTGTGAGTTGTAGTGTATATTGTGGCCAAATTAGGCTCTCATTTTGTTGGAGGCGCAAGCATGGTATTTATGCCCGTGGGGTTTTAGTTGAAGTCGTTCATGGTCTGGGGAAGGCAAAAAAAAGAAAAACCTGGGGTTGTTGGAACCTGATAAAGTTGTGTAGCGATCGCCGGTCGGCTATGGTAGCGAGCCGATCGGCGACCGGGCCGAGCGCTATGGAGACGGAGTATATGGAGAGTAAGTACATAAGGTGTCGGCGATCGCTGACTTACCTTCAATAGGTACAGAAGGGTGATAATTCAGTTATTTATCAATTACTTAGGATCTTTTCAAGCATGGATTGATTTTTCTCTCAAATTCTGGCTCTGTATGCTTTTCTCCTTTCCTTCCAACCGATTCATTTCATATCCATCCAATCATGCCACACCCTGTCCGACAACATGAGCCCAAGTGGTGGAAGGAGGCTGTGGTCTACGAGATATATGTCTCCAGTTTCAAGGACTCCAACAATGATGGAATCGGCGACATCCCCGGCATCATTTCAAAGCTCGATTATCTTCGAGACTTGGGGGTGGACGTGCTCTGGATCAGCCCGCATTACAAGAGCCCGCAGGTCGATATGGGGTACGATATTTCCGATTATCAGCAGATTCACGAGCCATACGGATCGATGGAAGATGTCGACACCCTCATCGAACAGACCCATACCCGGGGTATGAAAATCATCTTCGACTTGGTCATCAACCACACCTCCGACCTACATCCCTGGTTCCAGGAGTCGCGCGCATCACTCGACTCGCCCAAGCGAGACTGGTATATATGGCGCCCGGCACGATACGACGCGACGGGCAAGCGCTGTCCTCCCACCAACTGGCGGAGCAACTTCGGCGGCCCAACCTGGACCTGGGATGAACAGACCCAACAGTATTACTTCCACATCTATGCGCCAGGCCAACCTGATCTCAACTGGGAGAACCCGGAGTGCCGGCGGGCCATTTATGATAACGCGATCCGGTTCTGGCTCGAAAAGGGTATTGACGGCTTTCGCGTCGACACGGTGAATCGCTATTCCAAGCGCATGGACTTCGTGGACGCGCCCGTCACCGACCCGAACGATGAGACCCAACTGGCCTTCCAGAACTTCACCAACGGTCCGCGGATCCACGAATATATCTCAGAAGTGCGGTCGGTGCTCGCAGGCTACGATGTGTTTACGGTCGGTGAGCTGCCCAACACGCCGGACGAAGCCGACGTGATGCCGTTCATCTCGGCACGAGAGAAGCAGCTCGACATGGTGTTCAACTTTGATACGGTGTACCTCGGTCAAACGCCGGGCGATCGCTTCACTCTCCAGACCTTCAGCAAAGCCGACTTCAAGCGCGAGCTCACGAAGTGGCAGAGAGTGATTCAGGACACGGATGCCTGGACGACAGTGTTCCTCGAAAACCACGACCAGGGCCGATCCGTTTCACGCTTTGCATCGGACGACCAGGCTCATCGTGTCCAGGCGGCGAAGATGCTAGCCTTGGTGCTGGGTACGATGACGGGCACCCTCTACCTATACCAGGGCCAGGAGATCGGAATGGTAAATGCTCCACCCTCCTACCCAATCGAGGACTACAAGTGTATTCGCTCGGTCAACCATTACAACAAAATCCATCAGCAGACCGGCGGTGATCCCGTCGCGTTAAGCCAAGCATTAAATGCGCTGCAAAAGGTGGCCCGAGACCATGCCCGAGTGCCGATGCAGTGGGATGACTCGGCCAATGCAGGCTTCTGTGATGCCCAGACCACCCCGTGGATGCGCGTGCTGGATACCTACAGGGAAATCAATGTCGCCAACCAAGTGGGCAGAAAGGACAGTGTGTTCGAGTTCTGGAAGAACACTATCCGGTTACGAAACCAACACAAAGATCTGCTCGTTTATGGACGATTTCAAGTAATTGACCAACATGAGGACCTCCTGGTCTTCGTCAAGGAGGCCGCCAACGGCAAAGTATCGTTGACCGTCGCAAATTTGAGTGACCAACCGCGGCAGTGGTCACTTCCCCCCTCCTTACGGGGATTAAAACCGTCTAATCTTGTGCTGAACACTTGTGATGCACAGGAGCTTCAGCAATCCCAGTTGACAGCGTTTGAAGGGAGGGTGTATGTTTCAAACAGCCCATGATGTTCAACACCCGAGACGTAGCAGGTGAAAGTGATGATACTGTGTACACATATGATAAAATGCAGCTTAGAATGCTATTTCTTTTACACCTTGGCAGATCAGTGCACATCTGAACACACCACAAACATATCCGATGGACCTTGCTTCCAGTCGCAAGTCTCTAGATGAATGGCGGCGGCATGCTGAACCTTTCTAAACAGAAGTATCTCGTGTCAACCCTTTTGGCCCGCGCAGCCTGCTCCTCACTTATGCCCTGGGCGAGGTTTGCCACGAAGTCGCTGTGCCAAATCGGGTTGTTGACCTCACGTAGTTTACCGACTGACCATCGAGAATGGTCTGGATCTGGATGCTCGACCGCATACATGAATAGCGGCCATATGAAGCCGGGCTCCACTTTAGATCTCTCGAAGCGAGACTCAACTATGTGGCGAACGTGGTGCATGGCCTGCAGCGCTTCCGGGGACGCAGAAGGTGATTTTCCGTAGGCACGATCCAGGTAGATGATCTCGGTGAAGTAAGCAGCGCTACATAGATCGACAAGCCGGCTGAGTGGACTTCTCAGCGTCTGGGGGAGATGCTCTTGTAGCTGTTGTCTATCTGCACGCAATAATGCCGGTCGTCGTTGCCATAAATAACGAAGAGTTTCTTGGATCTTCTCGGCCACTTGTTCAACTTCCCGTTCATCGGATTGAAACCCTCGCGAGCGGTGATGACGGTTCAATCCGGTGATCTGAGCACTGATGTCTTGTACTTCTAGGTAAAACTCGAACAGTGTGCTGGAGAGGTCGCGCACGATTGTCTGATCTGGGTCGGGAGTTTCATTTTCCAGGGGGTAAAGGGCGGGTGTCTGGCCACGGACGTTGCACTTCAGGAGCCTGCTCACCTTGGGAGACAGAAGGCCACGACCGCCCAGATGCAGGGTCCGGGCGTGGAGGATTTGGAACCACGCTTGGAGGCGACGTAGAACCGGAGACCATACGTATGGGGGCACGGCGTCCCAAGCTGTCAGCTTGGCTACGAGGGCACCTTCTGGCTTTAGCGTAATGGATACCGTCTCGTGTTGTGCCACGATTTCGAAGCAGCAGAGCAGGAAGGTGGCGACCATGACCGTCTCGGGCTCATCCCCGTCTCGTTCCAGCATACTGGCATATCCACTCTTTGCAGCATAATACGCTGCCATAGAATTCATATTGTCGTCGTAGTTAGCCTTGGCTTTGTACAGCGACTCGACAGCAGAGATTGCCTGCCATACGACCGGATGACGGTAGGCCAGATCGACCATATATTGTTTCATTGGTTTCCAATTAAGCTCATCCACGGTGGCGATGAATGGTGGTTCCACCTGCTCGACAAAATATGAGAAGGTCGCAGAGTTCAGTACAAGGGACGTTGCAGGTGCCAAGCTTAGCGAAGTAGCGTCGTTCAATGGCGGCAGCTGTGACCACGGGAAAAGAGGACTGGCCAAGCTTCCAGGCAAGCCAAATCCATGTGGTTGTTCCTGAACAGTAAACCCCCCGTTGGCCCCAAATTCCATTAGGTTCGGGGGCGGAGTCCATCCAAGTTCTGAAAGAATGAATGGTGCCGGTAATGGTGATGAAGAAGCGCCAGTAGGGGTCGTCGACGCAGCAGCCACAGCGCCGCCTCCAGCACCAGCTCCAGCACCAGCACCAGACATGGTGGGTGTGGATCTCTTTAACGGTTCTGGTGAAGTATTGCGCTGGTAACGCTCTGTAGCCGAGTTATCCGTATAGATGCATGTGCGCTTCAACCGGCTGCAGTTGTAACAATATGGTCGCTGCTCGTCACACTTGACCTTCCTTCGGCGGCAGGTTATACAGCCACTTCGAACGCGAGCGCGCGGCCTGGTTAGCGCCTCAACATCATCTCGCATAGCTACGCTGCTGCTCGTCAACAAACGCTTCCTGGTGATGAAAGGACAACAGATCTTATGACGTTGGAAGAAGGGAACTTTAGTAGGTTTCTGGGGGAATTTTGTTTCTTGAAAGCGGATTGGATGTAGACGAATGTGGGGCTAGGCGGTCGATCGAGGACCAGGGAATTACAAGTAATTTTACTAGTAATTCTCTTAGGACACCCCCAGGGGACCCAATGTGGGTTCCCATTGAGCGGGACACAGCCGGCTCGGAGTTATTATAATTCCGTTCTGAGTCCCGTACCCGCTCAACTACTATGGGACTTAAAACGCAGGTCCTAATCAATTCACTGCGCCCCGCAAGGCGACAGGAGGAATTCGGGCGCTGGTGGTCACCTCCCGGCGTGTGGCTTGGACGCGGCCATATGTCAGGTGGCTGCCGCGCGGGTACATAATCTAGCGGTGAGGCTGCTTCACATTGGCGTGACGCAGGTGAGTTCAGGTCCAAATGCGGCTCCGCTACAGATATGCCCTACTTCTTTAGTGAATTCTTCCAGTCGAATATTCAATGCAGTTGACCATAGCATCAAGCTCGTGGCGGACTTGCATGATTATCTCACATGTACAGGTGTATCGGGTTAATAATCTAAGACAGCCCTTTCGAGGTAGGGATATTTTCGCGCGAATTTTGGGGCTATAGTATCATGTAGCCAAGCGCGCCCGTGTTGGGATTGATGGATTCAGTATGCAATCCATTTAATTACTGCTAATAGCGGATATAAAATATTCGCAGCTGGATGATTAAACGAGTACTTCAGATGAGCCAAATATGGCTGCAATAAGTTGGTCAACCTGTCTATTATTACACTCACCCTGCAGAGATACAGGGTTCTAAGCTTCCTGAGCACACCTTCTGCCTATTCCACACTGTAACTTAATGAATCGATCAACACATCACTCGACTTTAGTCCATCCTGGTGATATGAGAGCTCTATTTATTATCCTTTCTCTAGGTTATACTGTATCGAGGCCCGCCTGGGTCGATGCTTCGCAAGGCTGGATTTCGGGTTCACATATCCGACCGTCAAAAGAAGACGACAAGACTGGCCCTAGTCTCTCTTAAAGTGATCCTGGGTCTTTGTACAGCCGAATGGGTGTTAAAGATGAAGCTCGAACAAATTCATGCCCGTCATAATCGCACAAATGAAACGGTATTCTCAACGACTATCTTCTGCGAGTCAATATTGGCTGGACGCCCTGGGTGGTGTCACTTCACAAACCTGGCTCACGAACTGTGATCGGTACATTCCAGTATGCAGCCCTGACTCAAGTAGTATTTCCGGATCGACATCGCTCGGTCGGTGTTGCGCTCTTGCGACGGAGGCTTCGGGGCTAGATTCGACTGCTAGAGGGCCCCATTAGTTACTGTTGTTATCATCACTGCGACGGCAGACCTTGGGGTAAAGTCCTCCTGGAAGTATTTTGGACAAGATTCCATATCCCAAGAAGGGACGAGATTCCAGTGAAAAGGAGTGTGATGAACGATATCGACGTGTCTATCGACCAAGGCATTTTCGCTTGCTTTTTGAAGAATTGTCTGTCTTCATGTTCTTGGATTCCTATATTTTTCCGGGGTCATACCAAATTTTGGATTTCGAATGTAAAGATGTCGGTGGAAACCAAATTGTGGTGATAGATAGCCTGTGGCATCAACAGTACTTTTGTAAACAGAATCAGAAAATGGAAACACTAAGTAGCCTAATATGCCAGCAAAGCCAAGGAAACCAGACTCTGGAAAGGCACCTCCAGTAGAAAATTTGGGCGTCAGCCAATGATGGTGTCGGTCTCCTCAAGGCAGTGCTTCTGTCAAACCAAATTTGGGTCTCGTCGAATCGGATCTGCCGTTTCGGCTGCAGCTGACACACCAGCCAGCCAGGGTATTCCTTAGTACTACTGTCAGTACCTGTCTCTACTAGTAGGTAGTAGTAGTACTAGTATTAACAAGGCGCCAACTCTCCGAGAAAAACATTTCTTCCCTTTTTCTAACCTCTCTGTACACTTACACTTACAATGCCAAAGAAAGCCCCCCCAATCCCGGACGAGATATGGGACCGATACAAAGAAGCGATTATCACTTCTTATTCTCGGAATTCACTAGACCAAACAATGAAATATATGGTTGAGGAATATGGCTTTCAAGCTAGGTACAAGGTCCACTTTCTTCGGGCGGAACCTTGCCATAAACCTACAGTCTGACGCTGACATACTGCTACTTCTAGTAAAAACCAATATACCGGAAAGCTGAAATTATGGGGAGTAGGGAAATATCACCCCGGAAGCGATTGGCCGATCATCGAATCCAGGAAGCGGAAACGAAGCGAAATGGGCAAAGAGAGCGACGTTTACGTCCGTGGCCGCAAGTACACAAGACAAGAAATCAAAAAAGAAACCGCACGACACGTTCCTTTGGGACGCGATTGGTGCAGCCCGGAGGATATGCTCCCAGATTACATCACGGTCTGTACACCCCAGGCAGAGCCAACTGGCCCGCCGGGTATATCTCGCGACATCCTTCTTCGTGACCTTCCTTGGTACCAATGCACCCAAGAGATACAGAACATTGGTAAGTGTTTGGTGGCCAGCCTTGAGTTCCTTCTTTATCCCTTTCCCCCTGATATATACCACTCATTTGCTACCTATGCTTTTCATCCTCCACTGCGGCCTTCCTGGTCTTCACTCTGAGACAATGACAACATCAACCGAAACTGATGAGATGCTTAGTCTCAGGAGGACTCCGAAGTCGTATCGTCGCATCAAAGCCGGGTACCTCTCTTGAGATCTCCATGAGAAAGCTTGCTCCTCAATCCGATAGCGAGTTACTACAGCTGCATGTAGTTCTTGGTTCCTGCTTTGAGGGTAATAACGACCTCAATACGTATCTTCCACCTGAAGACCTGGACATTGGAGATTCTTCGATCGAAAGTACAAGGGCACTGCGGGACAAGTTTCCTGTATCGATCGTCAAGATCTTCGTACAACGCTTTGCTTTTTTGTCGGCGAACAATCTACTCGACCAACAGCAGTTCCATAAGGTCTTCGACTGGATCGTAGAAAAAGGTGGGACGAATATCCTCGTATTTCTCTGTCAGCCTCGGTCCCCGTTAATGAAGGCCTTCGCAAGAAAGGTCTTCTGCAGTGCTCTCATGTCCGGAAATATAGCTCTTGCTCGCAAAGTTTGGCAGTGTGGGGCACGACTACAGACTTATGATCCCTCGCAACGTCAACGTTGGACTGAGTACCTTTCCAAAGCGGTCCACGGTGGGCATGAGGCTGTGGTTGAGCTACTTTGCAAGGCAGGGGTACGCCCTGAGGTCAACGATAGGTGGTCATGGAAATATGACTGGGACTTGCGACTTCCAATTTTACATACATTGCTCGCCTTTGGTGCCGATCCAGAAGGATTCATCACAGGAGAAGAGGCTGGGTTCCCTTTAATCGATGCAGCGCTCAATGGTAGCCTCAAGGCTGTGCAACTGCTGCTTAATAGAGGAGCTCGAGTCAACATTTACCTTGCTCGGTATTATGGAACTGCTTTGCAAGCCGCAGCTTCTCGAGGTCACTTGGAGGTAGCCGAATATCTCATTCAACATGGAGCGGACATCAACGTTCCCTGTGCCTTGCCAATTCAGGCTTCTCAGTACTTCGATTATAACATAATCCCTCTTCTAACGCCCGTTCAAATTGCTGCCAAGGTGAACAATGTGGGTCTTCTTCAAATGTTGCTCCAACACGGAGCATCTACGATGGCTTGCCCGGTCTCCGCACATCCTAATTTCAAACATTATCTTTCTTGTCAAACTAAGCTACACTGGAGCTACTCATGGGGATTTAAACCTCACTATGACGGCGAGCAAGTGGTGTACACTGCCTTGCAATACGCAGCTCTAAACCAAAATTTGGAGATCATCACACTTTTGCTATCCACAGGAGTTACTCCAGACTCCCGAATTGCACCTTATGTAGGTGACACACCCTTGCAATTGTCCGCAAGGTTAGGAAATATTGAAATGTTTCGACTGTTCTGGGACTGGGGTGCTGATTTAAATGCCCCTCCTGCCACTTTCAATGGCCGCACTGCAATGCAAGGCGCAGCAGAGAGCGGAAACTGGAAGATCCTGTTGATGCTTCGGCACGCTGGCGTGCAGATAGATGCACCAGCAGGAGCAAAACAAGGCATGACTGCATTGCAGGTCGCCTGCCTGCATGGCCACTCTCTGATGGCTGGGGTTTTGCTCGCCCATGGGGCAGATTTAAACAGGGGTCCATCGGCCGTAAATGGCTTAACAGCTATCCAGGCTGCAGCCACGCGCGGTGACATACAGCTTGTAGGAGATCTTATTACTCTTGGAGCAGAGGTTAACGCCCCGCCAGCCAAGGGAGGTAAGACGGCTCTCCAAGCTGCTATCGAGCACAAATCTCTGCCACTACTCGACTTACTAGTGCAGCATGGCGCGCATGTAAACGCAACCGGAGTATATGGCTTTCTGTCTCCTCTTATAGACGCGGCCAGACTAGATTGGCACGATGGGGTGCAGTTCCTTCTAGAGCATGGTGCGAATGTTAATAACACTGCGTTTCGCCTTGCAATGTCGGATGAAAGTGAGGAACATGCTCTAGGGTGGCTATTAAGCCCTCTGGGCTGGGCTATCATGAACGGATCCGAGGGCATGGTAGATCTATTGCTGCAACATGGTGCCGATGTTCTTGGAACAGCTATGTTCAATGGAACCGCCTCTCAAAGCGCACTGATGTATGCATTACACATAGGATCAAGTGTTGAAGTTATTGACTTGCTTCTAGCAAAAGCCCCCGACTTGCAAAAACACCCTGGGTGGGAAAACGCGCTTGAGGTTGCTCTAGTAGAGCCATTCGGAGTTGACACTATTCTTTTTCGGCGAATACTTCAGAAAGTAGACTCACTCCCACCGTTGCTTTGTCACGAAGTAACTCAGAAGGCATGGGATGCACTGCCTATAGATCTCGATGATTTTAATGATGAAAAAGCAACTCTGGAGATTATTGAGCTTCTGATAGAATCTGGAGTACCTTTAGACTCTCGCGCCGAGGATGGAAGCACTCTTGTTCTGCGTACAGCTCACTATGGTTATCACAAATCCTGCTCTTTTCTTATCGGCCGTGGCGCCGCCGTTAACATCCACTCAACTGGATCTTGGGGAACACCTCTTCAAGAGGCTATCAAGTGGACTTATGTCAACATAGCCAATGTTTTACTAGAGCATGGGGCAGATATAAATGCCCTCCCAGCAGAGAATAAAGGGGTTACTGCGCTCCAGGCAGCTTCCATCAATGGGATGTTTGAGCTGGCTGTACGGCTTCTTGAATGTGGAGCAGATGTCAATGCGCCAGCTGCACCGATTGACGGCAGGACAGCAATTGACGGTGCTGCAGAGCGTGGCCATTTTGATATGGTCCAATTGCTCTTTAACGCCTATGGGGAAGATGCAGATCTAGAGCCGGTACGTCGTCAGGCGGCGGACTATGCGGAAGGGGAAGGTCATTTTGAGATTGCCCAATGGTTACGTGAGCATTCGGGGAGTTGAGTTTGTTGTAAGACGCACCGCCAACCTTTTGTATATTTCGGGCTTATTCATTCAAACGAATTTCTATTTGCCTCACTTCTCAATTAGAAATGGACATTGTGTGTATGGAAACTTTTGATCAGCTACCTCAGCCATAGATCTGTAAGTCGGTAGCGTAACACTCCTTCCCTGCAAGAATCTATAAAAATCATATGGAACAGATTTAAGACAAGGAAAATGGAGGGGTCATATTAAGTACGACTACTGACGTGCGGGCATCCCGTGTGATGCAGATCTGTCCCTGGCCTTTTTAGGTCTGAAAAAAGGGTTCCAGAGTAGAGATCAACGGGGTAGAATATCAAGAACAGTAATTGCGGGTGCAGTGTCTTCGATTAGCTATGAGAAACTAGAAGTTGGGCTTTATTGATAGTTGCTCTTTTATCCTTAACAGGATATAAATTGTTATGGAACAGTTCAGCATATTTGATAGAGCCTACTATAGTTTAAAATATTGTGGAAGAAGACGATAGTTAAATAACACTAAAATAAGACACTATAGCTAACCATAACACTACAGGGAAAACTACCTTACTGATATCCACAAGCGCGAGAGACCTGTTTCTCAGAGAAAACTGGGATTCCTTGAGGAAAGGACTAACGCGTGATTGGTCGTATTTGCCGACTTTATTAACACGGTAGGTTTGGGGATCGATAACCTCCGTAGGGTTGGATGGAGGAATGCCAATCAATATAGTCTATCTGCAATTCAAGAACAAAGAAAAGTAGCAAACAAAGAAATTTCCTCGAAATAAAAGAAGAAGGAGAAAGGTAAAAAGAAAAGACTAATCGACCTCCATCGACTCCACTGGCGACATCGACAAGTCTGAAGGATGGCGAACCTTCTTTCTCGACTCTGCCGCCATATTGACAGCCTCCAAGATGATGTATGAGAGGAGACCCTTAATACCACACTGATAAGTTACTCCCATGTCCCAAAGCAGGATGTGCACGGTATACTACTCTGAAGTTAGCCACCATTGCCTCCAGGAAGTTGATTTCCCCTACCCTCATCTTACAGGAGAGCCGATAGAAATGGAAGGTGTATCCATCCGACAATAGACCGAAAACACCTGCGTTTTCCCCATCCCCGGCAATAAGTCTTGCATTGACCACCATCGCTAACCATCAATTAGCAAATAGTGTATAAAGAGTTTGGAGATCGATACAACTCACCCATGTAAGCGAGTAGCTCTGCTGGGCCACGGTTAAACTCATCCCGTCTCTTCGCCTCTATGACCAGCAGATTGCTTGCGTTCTTTGAGGGATCATCGTAAAAAAGGGTATAATCGGCAAGACCTTGCACTCGCTTCTTGTTCGTCGTCCATGTAAGTGATGTTTCAAACTGCAGGTTTACTCCAACTGTACCAGGCTTTCCATATGCCCCGAGGATGAAAGTAGTCGTCAGAAGGAGGGCATCATCCAGTCGCGTTCTTGCGACAGGTTCATTCCAAGGAGCTCGCTTGTATGTCTTCTCATATGCCTTTAGAGTCCAATCTAAACCTGGACTGTCAGAGAGATATTGATTAGGAAAGCAGACTCACTTACCATCATGTTGCATTTCCTGTGAGCCCTTTTCGATATACATGCTGAACCCCTCAAACGCAGCCTTCTGCCAGTCGAACGGTTCGGTATCATCGAGAGTAAGACCAAAAAGCTTATGAACTGACTTGCTACTCAGATCTCCGACCTTTACCGTCGGGATCTTCAACAGCTCCTTTTTCAATTTCTTGATCGAAGTCAAAACGCTTTTTACCTCCTGTTTCCCTTCATCGTCTAACGTATCAGGGAATTTGTTGACGTAAGTGATAGCCATCTCTGCGGCTTTCAGTAGGGCTTTCTGGGTCGTCGACGCCATAGTGAGTGATCTCTGACAAAAGAAGATCTTTGTCTGAGGAGCGTTCAAGGTGGCGTTGACCGTAAGTATCTGTATTATCCGGTCTCGAATGAATATCAAGCAACTTTCAAGATTTCCGGCGAAGACTTGACGTCGCAGGCGTGGGTTCTGGACAACTGGACTTGATAGGAAAAAGAGAAAAGTTGGGAAGGGCGTAAGGACTTTGAGGTAAAGGTGAGAGTCTTGCTGACATAATACTTTGCTGCCTGATAAGGAAGGAACGATGAAGAGTACCTTTCTAAGGTCATATGTTCGAACTTTGCTATAAATTTGTATGGAGAACAGAATATGGGAGAGACTAGTATACTTTCGACAGGTGCCTGAGAGCCATGGCCACTACTACTAAGTAGTGTTACTAGCTTCCGCACCTTCAACCAATAGTCTTGAGAGGCAATATTCTCCACCGCCCACAGCCTTTAGACTCTATGACTCTGTACCTGGCAAGGCTACCACTACCGTCCACTAGTTATGTCCTGTATTACTTAGTCACTGCACTTCGTCTCGTTGACATCACTATGTCGTGTCTTTACCTCCTATCTCATCGCAATCTGTTCCCTTACCGGCACACCTTTGACCAGGCTGATCAACACGCAAAATGGACCAATCTCATGAAATCTTCCGTACAAAGGCGATATTGGAAGCGATCCTCCTCCAGACCGATATTCGTACGTTACTGACGTCTGCAACACGGGTATGTCGCTCCTGGCATGATATCATTCAAGACTCTGCCAGTCTTCAAGCTACTCTTTATTTCAAGCCAGGCAAAGAGCCAGCATTCTTTCTCAAGCCTTCCGAGAGCGGAGTCCGGTGGAGCTATTGTAACCACAAACGTATCCGGAATCCTCTTATTGAGACGGACATATGGCCTGAGTTTTTCCGAAAACGCCTCCGCTCTCCATCGGATAGATCCTGGCAAGTAAACGAGGAGTTTCCTCGCATGGATCCCGACAAAGAGAAGGCATATCTGCGAGAAGACGCTAGCTGGAGGCGAATGCTTCTCCATCAACCACCCACCTCGCATCTAGCCCTTATTGAGGAGAATTCCTATGCGTCTTGTCCGGTAGTTTCGCAGATCCGATTTCACGTCGATAACAGTCAGTTTAGGACTACAGATGATTTTGTCCGTTTAGGTCACCTGGGCGATGGAGTTGACAGCGGCTACTTGATACCAGGCCGAGATACGCTGGTGTTTTATGATAAAGGTGGAAGGGTTACAGATAGAGAACTTAAGTATGCTGAGCACAGGGCAGTGGCAACATCTCAATGGTTGATTCAGTGTGACGCCGTAATTTTCTGCTATCTGTCCAACTTTTGTGAACCGCGTCCTTTTGAGGGTCTTGGAGTCCTCACCTATGTTGACGACTTTCTGGAAGAACTTGGCCGTGGACGGCAAGTTCGAGGCCGCCGTCGTGTGGCAGTCTTGAGGGAAGACAAGGATCGTTGTTCGAGCCCAGACTATCCCGGGAGGTAGCCCCTATGGCTTTCTTACTTTTTTTTTTTTTCAATACTCCAGAGTACTACGCTTTTAGTATAAGTCTACGGATGGGAGTTGCTATTGCTCGTTAATGCTTTCATCAATGAATACCGCACATTAAATCTACCGGAAGACTGGGCTATGAAAATATTCCACGGTCATCAGGGACTTCAGGTTGATTTTCTGACTTTTGCTGGATGAAAACAAATTGCGGACAGGAATATCCTTCACCCTTACAGGGCGGCCAGGGCCCCGGGTATTGATGTGGAGACTCAGTAAGCCCACTGATATAATCATATATAGTTCATTAATTCTTATCGCACTCTTCAACTATCTGCAAGAGAAATTTTACAGTCTTGCCACTTTCTCTAAGGGTAACCTGCAGTCATTGTCATTTTAATGTATATGACCTATATAGGATATTATACCTACTGGATACCCTACTTCTTAAGTATCTATGTTGATATTGCGCACATAGTAGTGTGTTATTCTAAGTATGTGACGCTTGAAACCAACAATAGCAACATTTGAATTTCTATAGTAGACATACGTACTTAAAGAACATGTGAATCAGTTCATTGGTTCCCCGAATGACTCAAACTACTGCAGACTATTTTATAAAACTAATCGAGCCATTGAGTGACACTATCCCGCGGTAGTAGATTATATTAGCAGTAGTTTAGGGAGTTAGGCAAACCTCTATATATCAGTTGGTATTGATGTGTTTAACTTGTGTTCTCTAGAATACACAAGACTGTAATATGGGCGATTTCGCGCATCTCTTCGAGCAGACGAGCGGGCGTAAGGATACAGCTCCAAGGGTTTGAACGCCTGTGACGCAGGGCCGGCTGATATACTGCCCACCATTTGGATTAAGAATAAAGGGTTGATAAATAAGTCTTTAATGGCCAGGAAATTCATGAAAGACACCTTGTCCTTCTTCCACACCGTATGAAGATACAACACTATATTATTCGTACCCAAAGTAGAACGTGAACCCATCCGACAATAGACCGGATACTCCAATTTCTCTCCATCCGCACCAGAGCGGCTAGCTATGACAACCACAATTAATTCCAGGTTAGCAGATAGTGCATGAAGGTGCTGAAGATTGATACAACTCACCCATATAAGCAAGCAGCTTGCCATTCTTCATCCATTGCACGACTTCGAGCCACGATAATGAACCGATTCAATATGTGATCGTGAATATGCCCGCCAACGGCAGCCTGAATCTGAGTCCATCGCTGATGAGCTCGGCCGGAGCATGTTTAAATTCATCACGTCCTTTTGCCTAGATTATGAGCAGATTTCCCACATCTTTAGACGGGTCATACAAGAGTGTGTAGTCTGCACGACCTTGTACCCGCTTCTTATTAGTTGTCCATGTAAGCGACGTCTCAAAATATAGATTAACCCCCACTGTTTCTGGCCTTTTCGCCCCAAGTATAGGTGTGTGAAGAAGTGTGTCGAGCCGTGACCTAGCCAGGGTTCCATTCCACAGAGTACGCTCGTAGGTTTTCTCGTACGCAGCTAGGGTCCAGTCTAATCTCGACTGTTAGATGGATGTCGAGTAGGAAAGCAGAGTCACTCAGCACATGTTCGATGTCCCCCGCGCCCTTTTCTGTATAGACACTAAATCCCTCAAAACAGACCAGTCGAACAGGTGTGCCATATCAGGTTGCCGTAGCCTTTTCCAACTCATAGTGACCTTCCTCCCCCAATGTATCGGGGGACTTCCTCATCAAAGAGACGGTCATTTTTACCGTCTTCAGTGTTGTTTCTGTGTAGTGGTAGCCATAGTAGGGAGTGTTTTTAGAGAGAAGGAAAGATCACGGTTAGGGTGAATTCAGCCTTGGTGTTGTATTTCTACGGGACTTGAATTGGATGCGAGAGGCTTCTCCTTCCTGGCGATATTGTTGGCCCCAGTATTCATTTCAATTGTCGATGTCGTCGTTGTTACCATCTGTAATATACCTGATTTAGTTATGCAGAGCATAAAACGATGCAGGGTATAATGCCGCGGGTTATCATCGCCTTGTGGCAGAGGTTGTCACCTATATGCGTTAGGCATAGTCGTGCAAAGCATAGGTTATCCATGGTGAAGGGTCAACAGACGATTAAAAGAACACCACCAAATGGCAAAGATTGTCGGCTATATGTGCTTGGCATAGCCATGCAACACATGAAGCTATGCAGCGTACATATATAGCTGCAGCAACACCGCGAGGTGACCAAGGCCATCGTGACCACTGAAGAAAAAGCCGAATGTTGCCCCAGGAAAAGGACAGAAGAAACACAAGAATAATAGAGATTATCCTCTGTGCGCGTTGACCTTCGAGAGAATTCAGAATGTTATTCAGAAAAGGAGATTCAGGATGTCAAATAGTTTAAGATTATGAGATCACTGGCATGGCGGAAGGATTTGGCATGAAAGGAAGGAGAACAGAATAAGGAAGGGAGAAAGGGAATCTAGAAGGAAGGCGAAAGGAATATGAAACAAAAGTGACAGGAGTTTGTGTTGATGGTGAAAGGCTTGCTGATATAATACTTTCCTGCCTGGTTAGGAAGGAATAATTATCAGGTGTCTATCGTCATATATTCGAACTAAATACAAATTTATAGGAAGAAACGTATATGCAGAGTGGCTGATATTCACCACTACCACTTTCACAGTATGTGCCAAGAACTACTGGCAGTTCATGGAGCCTTGGCCCCGGGTATTCTACTGGGCAATTCACGAACGAGTTGCATGGACCGTTGTTCAAGCAAGCCCCACAATTTCTATTCATTGGACGATCATAACGAGAAACGATCTCTAAAAATCTGCTAGTAGAGGTGCCTCCGCAGCAATAACATTCATCCGTCGTCCTGCCACCTGTGTGAATTAAGTGGAGTCAGTCCCCAGTTTTTTTTTTGGCCCCCTGGAAGCTAAGACTTTAGCTCCATCATAGCGTGCAGGCTTGATTCTCGCTCAGGCCTCTCCCTCTTTTTATTACGGGCTGGCACCCTTTTTGTCCTCTTTCCCTACTCTGCTGCATCGCGCGCGCGGATATCCGTCAATTCCTGGGATCTCACAGCATGGTTTCTTACGATCCACCGTACGGGTTTCCTCTTCGCAGAAATGGCACCTGTCTTGCCAGTGAAACAAGCTGTGGTAAAACATGGGGGAACTTTTATGCCTGCTGCCCAGGCGATTCGGTCTGCCCCGGGGCTACCCAATCGATCCAGAACAATGTTTGCTGTCCGACGGAATCCGACTGTACGGCACCATTGAAAGCGACTCCGCACTGCGCCAATGAGACTGGGATAATGTATAATCACACTGGATACTTCTGCTGTTTGCCTGGGCAAACCGGGTTCTGGACGGATAACCCCAACAATGCTGTGGGCTGTTCCGACGAGGCACCCACCGCCCGCGGGGAAACAATCTTGGTTACCAAGAGTCAGAGTCAGTGGTGACCTTCTGCTATGTTCATTAGATTCGGCTTCCATTCTGACCAGGAGTCTTTCTATCCGTAGGTTTCGAGTCGACTTCTTCAACGGCTGCCGCAACCACTACAGCCTCTACCGGATCTACATCAACCAGCTCGATACCTGCCGCAACAACTACTTCATCCTCTGAGTCATCGAACAGCTCCTCGAGTAATCATGCCGGAGCCATTGCAGGAGGTGTTGTTGGTGGTGTTGCAGGAGTTGCATTGATCGTCGCTCTTCTTTGGTACTTTGTTATACGTGGCCGAAAGCGATCTCAGCAACCGCCCACTGGAGAAGGGGCCATCCCAGTGACCAGCAGTCCTCAACCCCCCCTCAAGCCCCCGACTGAACTGGAAGCTCCGAAAAGACAATATGAGCTAGAAAGCCGGATGGACCAACCCGTTCACGAATTGCCAACAAACCGCGACTAAGCTGCCCTGGCTCTTGCAATCATCGCATTAACGACATGGTCGCCGATTGGGTCGTTCGACAGCTGCAGCAGTTAACCGACTATTTTATGGAGAAACCTCCACTCGTTTATAAGGTACCTTCATCCACGACGTCTCAGGATCAAACCGGACAAAACAGATGATGGATGGATTGAACGACTGCCTTGAAAGTGCTCCGACCTCCCGACCGTTTGAGTCGTATTTCCGCAGCAAGGGGACACTTTCCTGGTTCATTATTTTATTTTTTTTCTCGTAATACTTAATGACGATTCATTGCCAAAGCCAGTCAACCCGATCAAAGATGTAGGGTGGGGGCCAGGGTCGATCATTGGTGCCTCCAGCATTTTTTCTCCACCGAGGAATCCAGCCATCACGACAATCCCAATCTCCCGGGGAGGCAACCCTAACCTCTAACCCCCATCTGGTCATGGCCACGCGACGTTCTTCCAATCAAGGGTGAACCCAAGCTACTACCGGAAATGTCGGCAATTTTGACAGTCTTTTCAAACGAGGTCTATTAACCCCGCCTGTCGGCTCTGCAATCCTCCTCCTATACGATGTGACGGTCAACGCTTACGGAGAATCCAACAAGTAAGCTTGCAAATTGCGTGTTCGCTATACTTTATTGGGAAGCTTAATTAGGCACCTTCTCACCTTGCCTGTTCAAGCTTAGTCAATATCGCACAGTCATCCCGCGATCTCGTGGTAAGGACTTTTGATGGCTTGTAGGTTCAGAAGCTCATCAGATACAGGCAACAAGACTGCCAATGAATTCAGTCTTGTGCAATTTTCCTTCCTTCTTATTTTTTTTTTTTTTCTCGCATCGTTAGAAGGGC